GGAAGTGCGGTATGTGCCGTACGTGGTTAAGCATGTGGACAGACATATGACTGGACTGACGACGAGGGTCCAACCAGCTCCTCCGCCTGCCCTCTCGTTACCTAACCCCGCCGTACACTCACGTAATGCAGCAGCAGCTGGCGGGCGATGGAAATGTTGCCCCGGGCCGCAGCGAAGTGCAGTGGCGTCGAGTAGATGTCGTACGAACAGTACGTGTCGTAACTCTCGCCAGTGGAGGCTGCGTTGATGTTGGGTTCGTACAGCAGCAGCTGCTGTACGGCGGCCTCCCGTCCAAAGAAGACACCGTAGTGCAGCGGAGTGAGACCGGAGAGGCTGCGGGAGTTGATGTACCTTTGGGTGGGCGGGGGTCAAGGGGGGGGAGATCGAGGGGGGAGGGATGGAGGGGGGAGGGATGGAGGGGGGAGGGATGGAGGGGGGAGGGATGGAGGGGGGAGGGAAGGAGGGGGGAAAGACGAACCACGAACGCTTGAAGCTGCTGCTGCTGCTGCTGCTGCTGCTGCTGCCAGGGGAAGTGAAGACACCGTGAATGCCGGAGGGGAGGGGATGCTAAACAAAGTCGCAAGTCAACTGCCGACTTCCAAAGTGCGGAGGAAGGAGGTAGGATGTGTGTGTGTGGGACTTCATCCTCATCCTCATCCTCATGCTTATGCTGCAGCTTGGGGGTGGGTGGGTGGGCCGCAAGCACCTCCGCTAGCTAGCTAAGGGGAAAATTTGCTGCGGCCGCTCGCCCCGCCGCGGCTTCGTGATGCGCATTGCCGTAAGGGGACCTAAACCTAAGCCCCCTGAGATTTAAAACCCTAAACCCTAAACCTCAGCATGATGCGGCTACATGTGGGGGCTGAATCAATATCGCCAAAGTGGATATGTACGACGATCCCCCACGCCCGCTGGCATCAATGACCTTCACGAGGGGCTCATTACTTTAAAAGTGCCGGTCGTGCCGTACATACCTGACTCCCTGCCGTACCATCATGTGCGGCAACGTGTGTTTCATGAGGGCCTCCACACAGGCGGCATTGCCCGCCATGGTGGCGTACTGCCGCCGTACACCGGGGGTTCCACGAGGCACACATATGGGCGGATGGCAGGGAGGGGAGCGAAGGGGGGCATCGTAGGCAAAAAATCAAACAAATCGACAAAAGCAGTGAGCTGCTCCTCCGTCCAATCCAACAATGTAACTGCCCCGGGCCTTATAAAGGAAGATCGGAGGGGGGAGGAAAGGAAAACACAGCGGGAAGTATACGGGGGAATCACACCCGCTCCAGGGGGGAAGGGAAGGTAGTTGCCGTACGGTGAGATAGCTGCCTCAGTCAGAGCTGCCATCTGATCCCACTGCTATCCGGGGTTCACCCCCTTCCGTTCACCCCCTCCCCGCGTGCATGTGTGTATCGGGGGGTGAGTGAGGAAAGGGGGTGAGGCGGGTGCAGTGCACTGAGTGGGTGAGGAAAGGGGGTGAGGCGGGTGCAGTACACTCACGTGGAGGGCATTACGGGCGCCGCAGTTGTCCTCCAACCAGGGATCAGCACCCTGCAACAGACAGACAAACAGATAGACAGACACGGCCATGCAGCACGTGACGAGGTGGGGTGGGCGGCAAGTAAGGGACGGGCAGCACCGACAGGTGATGTGCAACAATGTGCGCGTGTCCATCCATCACCACCACCACCACCGCCGCCGCCGCCGCCACTATCATCATCACCACATCATCGTCTATCGTGTGCGGCCCCATTCCAGCAACCAGTACACAGCCTTCTTGCCCCGAGGGCTCCCTCGACACAGCCCTCCGTCAGCATGTCCATGTCAATGTCAATCTAGGCAGGGCCCTAAGTCCCGCCCAACGGGTGAGGGTGGAGGACCTCCCAATGCGGCCGAAACCATCTCCGGAGGGAGGGTCAAAAGAAGCTATTAACTGGCCACACTGCTCTATTCTTCGTAACCCGCTGATGCGGCTAAAACTGATGGGAGCTGCTCCGGGAGCACCGCGACGTCCCTTCCCCTGACAGCCGGGCCCCCAGCACCAGTAGCAGCAGTAGCAGCAGCAGTAGCAGCAGCAGCAGTAGTAGCAGCAACAGTAGCAGTAGCAGCAGTAGCAGCAGCAGTAGCTGTTGGAAAATAACTGACACCCATACAATACCAGTGACAATGGTGACAGCAGTAATAGGACCCGGGTTTTTCAATAGGTTCCGTGGCGCTTTGATGAGTCCATCAGTAGCAGCAGCAGGGTAGATACTTACCCCCTCATCAGCAGCAGCGGGCTCCGCACCACAGACGCCAACCCGCTGACACCTCCAAACGTATTTTTGGACGCACACACACACACACACACAATACGCGCCACCAATACACAGCACCCGCACCCCCAACCGCACCTGCTCCAGGAGAAGCTTAACGATTTGTGGACAGTTGCTGTAGCAAGCATACATCAGCGGCGTTTGACCTGGCGGGAGGGACACACGCGGCAGGGACCGCCGGGACCGGGCGGACTTCGCAGATATGCATGTACGTATGCATGTATGCATGCATGCATGTATGTATCCTCATCCAACCGAAGGGCCTGATACAGAGCCAAGAGCAGCTACCGGGCCCCCTCCCCCCCCACACACAGGGGTGAAATGCGGAGGGGCGGTATGAAGGGCAGTGTAAGGGGGAGTCAAGCAAGGTAAGCAAAGGAACACGGGAACGTCAATGGCGGTCATAGGAACGAGCTGGGATCATGCATGCGTGGCGACTGGCAGTGGCAGGACGATAACACCCCTCCCCCCTCAAAGCGTGATCACTCGCAGCAGGTCGTAACCGCACCCCACCCTTCCCGCCTCAACCCTCGCCTCAACCATCCCCTCAACCCTCCCTCACCCTTGTTGTTGGACAGGTTGGCCGCCAGCCGGGTCGCCGCGGGTGCGCTGGAGGGCAGGGGCAGGAGCTTGCGGTGGCAGTATGACCTCAGGGCGATTTGCAGGATGGCCAGGTCGGCAGTGGTCAGGAAGTTGAAGATGTGCTGGGCGGCCTGTCGCCGGCGGGACACGGGAGGCGCAATGTACGAGCCGTCAAGACCCATGAACAACCACCAGGAAACCGCAAGGGGTACAGGGGTTGAGATGGTGGGTGCATCAGGTGGGTTGTAACCGGGCGGGTAGGTAGGTGGGTGGGTGCTGGAGCTAGACGGGGAGATGGGTGGGATTACCTCAGTGCGCAGTGCGGCACTGAGCTCATGCGCGGAGCGTGGCGGCAGGCGCTGGCTTCACACCATCATGCGAATAAAGGTGGCGTGAGGACGCGGTGTACGAGCGTAAACAATGAGAGCGCCGCTAGGGTTGAAAAACTCCACGACTTTCCGGCATTATAGATGTGATGAATGCGAAATTATTTGATACAGCCAACGCGGCAGTCCTTACGTCGTGCAGCTTGTGCTCAGCAGCAAGATGGATGGCAGTGTCGTTGAGACCCAGTATTGCTGCAGGCTTCGGGGCGCATAGGAGCTCCGGGCGCTCGTGCAACTGCCTTACAAGCTGGGCGCTGTCGCTGTTGATATCGAGAGACGTGAATGTGGAGCCTGCGCAGCCTGAGCATGAGTTACCCATTTCTTGGCTCTAGGTCAATTTCAGTCACTCTTAAAGTTTCTTTTATGTTCATCATGTATCCTCATAAATAGGACGTGCTTGACAAGTTACTCTTAACTCGGTCAGTATTAGAGCTTGGTCAGTATTGCACTAACATGGTAAACACCTATGGTTTGCGTTGGAACAGAAACTAGGAGACAGGCAGCATAAGGGTTTATAGATGACTTGTGAATGATTCCAGAAATTCATATGCGAAGACGAATGCAAAGGTGGTACTAGCAGTATTACGTACGTTACATCCTTGGGCGTGTGACAAGCGTTATCCAGGCAAAGGTATCCAGGGCTCCTTCAAAACTAGTTTTGACTTCGAACTAGGTTGATTTCGTAACCTTTTGTTTTCTATCGGTATAACCATATTCCGTCCGCTCTGCTCCCATAGCGCGCCACGGCGGCTTCTCAGGCGCCAGTTTCTCCAGTTTGCTTAACTAAACAGCTTGGACATAGCAATCACTCAGGTCAGAGGAAAACCTGCCCGGACAGGACCATCGCCCGTTTGCTTGTGACAGCAGGACCTGCTATCCACAGTTTCAACCCAATATGGCATTCTGTTTCAATATGGCATACTGTTTTTTCTACAGAGTAGGATAAGACTGCTAACTGCCAAATGTACAGCGAAATCTTTGCTGCAGCGGTAATGTACGACCGGAAGCTAACCGGCCGCGCGCCGCAATGGTCAATCTGCGAAACGCGAAGGACGATCCGATATCATCGAAAGATAATTCGCATCCCCATATCCCTACCAAAAAGCACGTATTTCGACATATTTGAACATATTTGGACATTTATTTCTAGACACGCAGCTCCTGAACATGCTGCCTGTACAGCGTCCAACCCGACTGCGAGCCTGGCATGCTGTGCAGAAGTCCCGCCCAAAATGCAAGCAGCTCACTAGGCTTGAAGCTAACCTGCATCAGTACGGCGTGATCTTACACCAAATCAAACCAAGGCCACCAAATCAACGTGGCGGCCGGTGGCGGCCACATCTAAGCCCCAATCCTCGCTGACGTCTCCGTGTCCGGCCGGCGGAACACTTTTCTCGAACCCCGGGGTCAACATCACCAACTCGGCCAGCAGGTCATCCGGGCTGTTAGCTCTGCATGACTGGATGGAACCCCATGACGCATTGGCAACCTTCCATTGTTGCGAGGGAATATGATATGGTGTCCGAAAACGTTCCTTTCCTTTCCTTTCCTTAGTCTCCGACCGATCATCTTTATGCTCTGGCAGCTGCGGCACTGGCCCGGCCTAGCGCTTGTAGGGCGCCGCCTTCCTGGCCCAACGAGCTCGCAGCAGAAGTTGCGGTGGTGGTCGTGGCTGAGGCCTCCGATATCATTGCCTCCTCCCCACTCCTCCTTCGTGGCTTCATGGCCGTCCGCCGGCGGCCCCGACGGCCTCCCATACCTGCGGCGGCCAAGGCACGGAGATCGGAGCAGAGCGGCGGTCCGCTCAGTGGGGTTTTGGGGGGTTAAAGTGTAAGGCCCAGGAGGAGCAGCACCCCTGGGGCTCAGGGGAACCGAACCAGGAGGCCATGAGGGGGAACCCTGGGGGAGAAACACCCGAACCGAGGAGGGCGGCACAGGCGGGTAGAAAGAAAGAGCACAGCAACCGGCGAGGCAGATTTTGAAGGGCTTGGGAGTCGGCGACAAGCAAGGCGGTGCAAGCAAGGCGAGGCAAAACAGGGCAAGGCTTTCTCGCCAGTGCGGTGAAGGCGCTACGGCCGTGGATTTCTTTTGTGTACTTTTGTGTAACCTGCAGTACCTCTTTCTCGTACTGCTCGGGCGTCTTGAAGTCCGGATCGCGATACGACCTCCATGAAAAGCGGTGGCAGGACATGCACAGCGACTCGCTGGCCCAGACCCGCTTGCCTCTGGTGGTGGTGGTGGGGGGGGGGGGCCCCGGAGGAGGCGACGAAAAGAGAAAGGGAGACAGGGAGCGCATGTGTACGTGTAGTCTACGCGGGTCCATGTGGGTCGCGAGGGGAGGTGCGCTCAGGGAAAGGCCGCATCATAGAAGCCGCGCACACAAGGTGCAGTTGGGACGTGGTTTTCGTGATCCGTAAACTCGCAACCTAAAACCCAACCAGCTGGAGATGGCTTGGCTCGGTGCGAGCACGAACACACATGCAGGAGTTCTCGACGGTTAAGCAGAAGGAACAAACCTCCTAGAGTTCCGGAATTTGTCCTTTCCGAGATAGTAACACAGCGACGACATGCTAATTCAGTGGTGGATGAGCCCGATATATGTGGGCAGCTCCTCCGGGCGGCTCGTTGCGCCATGGTCACTATCACTCACACACTACAGACACCACTCAGGTGGTGCAGGTATAGGAGAAAAACTGCAGAGGCCATCACATCACATCACAGATATGATTCATGCCTTGAGTTACTGAAAATGAGCTCAGTCCTCCATATGACCACTGTCGCGCCATGTGATTGTAGCCGCGACAAAGTACGTGCGTACAGCAGGCCACGTGACAGCACAGCCAACCGCCAACCGTCAAGCTCTGGTACCGCTCTTAAAACCCATCTTAACCCATTCTTACCTGCACCAAGTTTGTGTGAAGTAATGTTCCCGCGTGTCGGAGCTACCGCATTCCTCAGCTAGGCATGCGGGGAAGTCGTCATTGCGCTTCCAGCGGGAGCTCCACTCGCCGACAGACATCACCTGCACATTGGTTAGTGCCATGGAAGGGGGTTCCCCTTTGGTTCATCCCCTTTAGGGGAGAACCATGGGAGAACAAATATCACCCTACCTACCTACCTACTTACGATTTAGATGTACACACTCGGATAGACGTGCTTTCACGTGCGGCCAAGCCGTACATTCGTATTTCGCGCCGTACTGCCCAGATCCGCCCCACCGTACCGCACCTTGTACCCGCTGCCGATGGAGGGGTTGATCTCCACAGGGTCCCCGCTCATCACCTGTCGCGGTAGGGAGCAGTCCACAAGGCCGTTACGTCTCATCTGTTTGAAGCTGCTGTGAAGTCCGGACCGCTGTGTACCGTTACCTGCACTAACGTGTACGGCTGGGACGTGCTTATTGAGTGGATGGATGGATGGATAGATGGATGGATGGATAGACAGACAGATAGATAGATAGATAGATGGATGGATGGATGGATAGATAGATAGATGGATAGATGGATAGATGGATAGATAGATAGATAGATAGATAGATAGAAATGATTTAGTGGATAGATGGATGGCCATGATAAAGATTGCAGCAGTGTGGACTCTTCGCGGAGGCCACCCTGCCACCCGAAGCACCGGTCCGGCTTTCCTTTCGTTGGAGGAGAGGGTGAGGCGCCAGTCCTCCTCCCGCTCTCGTCCCTCCCTTACCCCCTTCCTCTGCGCCCTGGTGGATAGGAAGGATGTGTGTGTGTGTGTGTGTGTGTTTCCTACGGCCGGTCCTCACCCTTCCCATCCTCCCCTTATAAGCTCAGTCCCGGTGCTTCCACCTAACCGCCGGGGCTGCCAACACTAGGTTAAAGCAGAAGGCGAGACAGAAGCACCGAGGGGAAAACAACGGAGGCGGGTGCGGCGGCGGCGCACACCTTGCGCCACTCCACACGGTGCACTGGGGCACGGGGCTCCCGGCTGACTGCGGTCTGAATGGGGCCCTCTAGGTCGGAGCAGTACTTGAGCACTTTGGCTGGCTGGGGCTGGGGCTGGGGCTGGGGCGGAGGCTGCCCAGCAGCAGGCGCGGCGGTCGCCATGGGTGTCGGTGCCATTGGATTTGGGGTCGGGTTACGGAGGCTGTGTAGATGGGTTGCGGAGGGATATGGAGGTGGGCAGGGATGGGGCGGTCGCGGGGGTTGGCTGGGCAGTGAGATAGCCCCTAATGGCCGTTGGTTGAGGCGGACGATGTCGGCCTGGGAAGGGGGCGTTGCTAATACGTCGTTCGCCTCAACGCAATAAGCCTATCTGGGCCTCTGCACCTGACAGTCGCTGACTCAAGGCGGCTAGGATCGCAAGCAGGTGAACGGACGATCGGTAAGACAGAGCTCAGCGCTCAGTGGTGGGGATGTAGTGTACTCACCGCAATACATGCAAGTGAGCTAGATAGCAAATGAGTATTTTTAAGGGTTTTTCGAAGCAATTCAAATGTGCCTTGGAAGGACTCTTTCAGGAGCCGCCATTGCGTCGCTGGCCGGGCGGTCGGCTCGTCCCACGGGGGCGGAGGATGACAGCCGGAAAGGCGGTTTCCCCTGTCGGAGCTCCATCTTGGGGGAGCCGACACGATTTCGTACATACATATATACGGCATACATACATTTATATATGCCATTCACCACGAACGCAAAGCCTCGAAACCGTGTCGGCTATATATGTTTATATGCTGAGAACCTGCTGGAATCCTGAAACTGGAGAACTTGGGTCCAGGGTTATGATTGTGCCCACAAAAGACTGCAACAAGTTTAAGTCAAAGCTGTCCGCCAGGTCCGCCCTCCGGTGGCGCTTCCAACCGCGTCCAACGGAGCGTCATGCCACCACCGGAGGGCGGACCCGGCGGACAGCATTGACATAAACTTTTTGCCGTCCCACAAACATAAACCTGGACCCAAATTCTCCAATTTCAGGATTTTCCGATTTCAGAATTCCATCATGAAACCAGCATATGTAAAACTGCCTGTGTTGTAGCGGCATGCTTCTGCAGATAGATGAGCTACCAATCTTGGCTGCCAAACCGAAGCGAAGCACTGCCATGGTGAGATCAGTATCGCGTAAAGCTTCATAATGGCAACGCTATAGCGTATCTTGCGGGAGATTCGACCATCGAGCTCTTGGGTTACGAACCAGACGAACCGTAGCCTGCATATGAACAATACCTGACCCTCAGATAATTATGCATGACATAAGAAATAAGGTTTGGTTGATATTGCATCATAAACTGTGGTGTATCTAAAAAGCGCATATGAACGGGCAACATGCCCTTGCGCGACCTCCGACGGGAACAAAGATTGCTACTGCCAATCATAAAAGTAGGACAGCTGGCAGACTTTAGGTTAAACGGATGGTGACTAGATACACGGCTGCTATCTGCTGCATGGTCGGTGACGTGTTGCGCAATTGATTGGCAACGGAAAGCTGCCCGTACATCATTCCTAGGTTCGGGCCACTTCACAATAGTAACGACTTCAGCACGCTTCCTCGCATACTTGCTAGGCAACAAGAAAACTTTCAATTTAGGTGTTGTCTTTTGTATTACCGGCTACACCCAGACTTCTAGAAGACTTGTGAAAACAAAGGTATTGAGAGAGCGCCCATGACAGATAGGACAAGCCATCAGGCAGTATGTGATAAACTGATGTCACTGAAAAAGATGTTTCGGGAAGGGTTTCTGCCGCACGCGTTGATTCAGCTTCTGTTCCTCACCTCCTTATTAGTTGTCCATGTGCCAGCTGGCTATGCAACCCCCATTTCAATGGTTCAAACAGTAAATGATTTGTGGAGCTCGCTGGCCATGCGGGCTGCGAAGGAGACCATTGCAGCCGTGAGGAAGAACTCGAAAGTAGAACTGGAGCTCCGGACTGTTCCTATGGATACCTTTCAGGTCTGGCTGAATTATTCGATTATATTCCATCTGCTTCCCGGTGCAGAGTCCTAGGGCTCCCTCCTGCTATCCCTAGCAGTTCTGTCGGTGCCTTAATGTCCCCGTTCCTAGCTGTATCCAGCTCCGCTTGATCACCACACGCGCAGGTCCTCGTGGGACGTCAGCATCACCTGGGCCTGGAGGTAGACGGCGTCACGTACGATCTGCTTCTAGGCAACGAACAGGAGGCCGTGCAGGAAGCACGCAAGCGCGCCACAGCTGCCGCTGCTACCGCGGCGGCGGCAGGGGCGGCAGCAGCGGCAGCAGCCTCTGCCGCCTCCGTCGCCGATGGCGTAGTCCCTGCTGCCCAGGCCCTCCCTGCAGCTGTCCCTCGGGAGCCCACCGCCTCCACCTCCACCTCCACTTCAGCCGACGCGGTGGACAAGCCCTCCACCTCCGCAGCCGCAGTGCCCTCCGTCGTCAGCGGCTCTCAGGAGGTGGCCCTGCTGCAGCTGTTCAACGGGCCTCGGAGCAGCCGCTCCCTGGAGCTTCCCGAAACAACGCTGGCGGGGCCCCTGGAGCTCTTGCTGCCGGTTCCGGAGCCGGTCAGTATATACTCCCCGCTGGCTGCTGACGTGGGTGGCCCTGTACGGCGGGTGGTCATCGATACGGGGGTCACTGTGCGGGTGGCGGGGCTGCGGAGAGTCAGCCTCAGGTGAGTGAGCGTTTAATAGGGAAGGCAGTAGCGATGCAAACATACATACGTACATACATACATCTGCGGAAGCGTGGGTCAGCCACCCCTACAACTCAATAACCCGTCGCTGTGTGGCTCTCCTTGTTTTCCCCTCGCCGCGGCTGTTGCGGCGGTCGTCAACTCCTTCCAACCCGCCACCCACCTCTCGAGGCCTCCCCGGCCGGTTCTCCAACCCCGGCGGTGGTCGTTTCTGACCCCCTCCTCTCAAATCCCTCCCCTCACCCCCCTCCCCTCACCCCCCCTCCCCTCACCCCCCTCCCCTCACCCCCCTCTTTCCCTCCCCGGGCTCCCAGGCGGCCTCTGGACCTGCCCCGCCTGCCCGGGCAGTACCTGGCGGAGGTGTACGCGCAGGTGGCCACGGGGGAGGCGGAGGAGGGATTTGGGTCAGCGCCGGGCATAGTGTACCTGGCGGAGCAGGTGGGAGGAGTTGTGTGGCGGAGCAGGCGGAGCGGGGGAAGGGTGGTGTGGATGGGAGGCAAGCTGGCTTGAAGAATGAAGGGACGCGTGGGGGCGGGCGCGGGCTGGTGGGGGAGAGAGGATGCCCCCCACGCGGCGCACGGGTGCCAGCGTGGAAGGGAAGAGATGGGGGGAGGTCATGGAGGTCTTTTTTGACTTGTCGTAAATTAGGTGGACTCCTCAAGGTGGTAGTGGGAATAGTCGCGCTGGTCGGTCATCCGCACATCCGCCGCCGCCTCTATTCGCAGATCCGGAAGTCTGCGGAGTCAGCCGCCAACAGCAGCAGCCACAGCGGGCGGGAAGCTGGCGCGAGGGGGAAGCAGGGGGCGCCCGCGGTGTTGTCGCTGGAGGTGGAGACGGTGGCGCCAGGAGCGCTGACGCTCACCTCGGCTCCGGAGCTGCCGCCGCCGTACGCCGCCGCCGCGGCCCCCCGTCTCAAGGTCCGGCGGCTGGCGGGAGGCAGCGTGGAGCTGTCCCTTCGGCAGGTGGGCGGCTAGCTGGGGGGTCGGGTGGGTCGGGTGGACCCCGGGACCCCCTGCTGGGCCGCGAAGGGTTGGGGGGGGGGAGGGGGGGGCCCCTCGACTACTTCGTTGCGTCGGAAGTTCGCAAGGCGGTGGTAACTGCTATACCACAGGTGGTGGCGCGTGTGAACACTGCTGCGGATGTTGTGGCGGACACGATTTTGATACCTCCGGGTTTTGCCTCTCCTGTCTCAACTTTCATAGACGGACTGGGTAGGGCAGGGTAGGGGGAGGTAGGGTAGGGTAAGGGGGCGCCAGGGGGAGGTACCCGTGTTTGTTGGATTAGTCGGGGGAGGGCTCCGAGGTCAGTCTGACCTCGCCACCCGCACCCGCACCCCTACCGCACCCCTACCGCACCCCCAGGGCCAACTAACCCCAGCAGACACGTTCAACCCAGCTGCTGTATCCCGGGTGTGGGCCTGGCCACTGCCCCACACCGACAGCTCGTCCTGGTTGCCGTACGAGACGCTGCTGCGTTCCATACTGGCGTCGCACCCGTTCAACGTTGACAAAGTCATCCGCCGGGGCATCGGCTTGCGGCTGACCAAGTCCTCCATCCAGGTGGGGGCCGCTGTGCCGTGCCGTATCGTGTCGTGTCGGGGGTAATAAAAAAAGAGGGTATTGTATAGCGAGTGAGGCCCTCGATTTGAGGGAATTCTCGATCCGTATTCCGTATCGGATCTTTGGTGGCACTTTGAACCCAGTTCCTCACAAGGGGGGGCCGGCAGCCCTGTTGCGTCCGTGCCCTAGAATGTATGTCGCTGTGTAGTGTAGTGTTGTGTAGTGGACCCCGCCTCCGCCAGCTAGCTCTGTGTGTTGTGTTGCGTGGTGTGCTGTGCTGTGCCAGCAGCGCTTGTGGGTGATGATTGTGTTACCAGCGGCCAACTAAATGAAAGCCGTAACGGCTGGACATGCACCTCTCAGGGCACACACCTCATCGCTTTCGATATGGAGGTGCGCGCCAGGTCGCCGCGGCCGCCGGAGCTGGAGGGCGCGCCGTACGAATGGAACGAGATGCCTCTGGAGGTGAGCACAACCGGATTCAAAATTTTGGAGCATGAATTTATACCATTTGCTTGGTTGCGGACGTTGAACTTGGTGCGGCTGCTGGTTTGTTCGCGGGCGGGGTTGAGGGGCTCGATTGGGGCTACTGCCCCTCACGGTTGCTTCACCTCCCTTCCCGGCAGCAGCTTTCAACCCACTCTCCGTGAATAGGTGGAGGTCCTCTTAACTTCATCCATTCATTTTTGTTCTTTCCGGTCCTCCTTTCCGGTTCTCGGAGGTTCTGGAAGGAAAGCGAGCTCGTCACCTTTGCTGTCACTGCTCTCCCCGCTTCGTCTCTCGCTTCCTGCGCCCGCTCGCCCGCAACTCCTGTCCGGGTCCCGGGCCCGATCGGCCGCGTGCAGATCTGGGAGGCCGTGGTGCAGGTCCAACCCCAAGGGCAGACGCACACGCAGGCGGCCGCTGCGGAGGGCGGCAGCACCACCACCACCAGTGCGGCGGCTGGGGAGGGCTTCCGGTTCGTGCCGCTGCATGCGAAGAGGAAGCAAACCTTCCAGAACACCCTGACCATGTCGCGGTCCGCCATGATCCTGGCGCTGACGGGCGGCGTCAATGCCACTGTGGGGGGCCCGGACGGCGACGGGTACGACCAGGTGGAGCTGGGCCTAGCTGCCAACGCACCCTGACAGAGGAGGGGAGGGGGGGTAGGAGGGGGGAGAGGAGTGTTGGTTCGGTAATGTTGGTTAGGAGGGTTCTGTGTCCACGGGCCTGATAGTGCGGGGGACCATATTGCGGGGGCACTTCCGCTGTTCGGCAATGCAGGGCGCTGATGATTGCAACAGTTGCGTTGCTCAGGAGCGGTGTTCATCGGGCGGTAGGTGGACGGCTCGTGGCTGGTGGGGATATTTGGTCGCAATAGCAGCTGCAGCAGCAGCGGTGGCACACATAGGGCCTAGAATACATACAGGGTATGATTGGGCTGAGAGACATCCTCGTATATGTCCTAGGGGATGGCTTAGGAAAGGAATAAAGCGCGATGACGCAATGACGCAGCGAGGCGAAGTACTTGCCGACTACATGAGATGATGGGAGTGATAGAGATGTGTGTGTGTGTGTGCATGTGTGTGAATAAGGGCTGACAAGCCTGTGGTTGTGCCTAAGTTGGAGTTGGGGAGGGAGGGGCGCGTGTGCGTGTGGAGGCTCGTGACGGGTCCCCCGGGGGAACCTCCGCAGCAGCAGCAGCACATATCCCTACATGGTTCTACCCTGACACGGAGCTGCCTGGCGGGGCACGGGAGGGGCCGTGAGGGGACATGAGAGGGGCCATGAGGGTCATCGTGCTGGCTAAGACCTGTTCTGGGGCCGGGGGGTTGCCGTGGGCAGGAGGTGCGGACTCAGTACTCGTCGGCCTGAAGTGAACCGGTGTGAAGCGAGGGAAGGTGAGGGGAGGGGATTGCTAAATTTTTTACTCACTGCCACCACTCATTCATTCGCCGCAACTCAAATTTGCAGTCGGCGGGCACATAGGTAGGAGTCGACTGTCTGTGTACATGTGAGTGAGTGCCCGTAAGTGCGGAGAAGGACAGCGTTATATATAACAGGAGGAAAAGGAACGATGGCAGCGAGGGGAGGGGAGCGAGGGTCGCGGGGTAGCTGGCCCCAGATATGCGTGGGGCCTCTATGTGGGTAGGAGGGCATAGCGACATAGTAGTCATGGCAGGACAGCTGGAACGGAACGGAACGGGACGGGGCGCTTTGAGGGTAACAAACGGCGAACTAACGAACGGGTTGCCTGGTGCAGCTACAGATTATGGGAGGAAGTAAGTTTGAGGATTGTTGGGGGTGACGCAGGCGCCGGTAGTGATCTACCGCGGGGTCGGGAAGCGTTGTTACTGTTTTGGCCGCTGTTTAGGTAACCGATGGCGGTGGGGGGATGGCTGTAGGACTAGGACGGTTGCAGGGCACCGCCTGTCAACATCAAGGGCAGGAAAGCATCATCAAGATGCATGTCCGCGGGGAGTTCTGTCCCTAGGGCACGGTTTGTCTCGCTCGTTGCTCCAGTCGGATGCTTTTCCTGGATGTGGATCGCGCAGCGTCTCTTATCGGGTTGTAACCCTTATCGGGTTTTCCACATCTGGCTGATGGCATATCTTGCGTGGGAGCTTTTCGTCGCCAACGACCTGGAGTGGGCTTGGGAAAAGTATTTGCGCGCGCACGCAGTTAATTTGATGAACAATTGGTGTGGCATTTTTTAAATTGTGTGCGCAGCCGCCATTTCTGGGTGGAACGTCGTGCGAGGATTTACTCAGCTACGCTTTTTCATAAGGTCATTATGCTGGCCGCTCCGAAACGCAAACATGTCTAGTAAGGCTTCTTCGATCGTGCCGCGGTTCTACAGCTGGCACGTCACCGGTGGAAAGCTCGTTAGGTGGTCCCTGTACGGAATTACAGCTGCAGGTAAAGTTACCTTGTTGTAACATGGCATCGCATCACATAAAAAACATGATGTGGTGTTGTTCATTCACTTCTTGGCACCGGCTCACCGGCTCATGGTCTTATAACTACAGTACCTGTCAAACACGGCAGCACACACAAGCCCCGCGAGCGACCCCTGGCAAACTGTTGTCGCCAGCGCTCTTTCACACGCCTACCTCACCCAAACAGCACTGCTCTCCTGCCGGCCATGTACATGTGGGTCTCACCACGCATGCACCCTCTCTGTACGCAACAATGACAAACCCCCTCCAGTGTGACGCAATTTCAGCGCCGACGGCTTCAGGCAAATAGACGATTTCAATAAAATTAGGCACAATCGGTAAGCGCCCTCGCACAGTCGAGTTCTGCCACACATTTCCGTAGCACCCGCGCGCAGGTCGCAGTGCTGCCTGAGACTCGTACAAGTTCCTCAAGTCAGTCACGGTTCTCTAGCGTTCAGGAACCAACGCGCCTCCTTTTTGCGCATGTGTCGGTTGGGAAACCTGCAACGGTTTCCATGCAACCAATTTGCAACCAGCCTGCATGTTACCAGCCGCAGCCGGCAGTCCAAGGTGCTTCTCAGCACCGCTGCAACGAGGCATCACGACAGAAGAATCGCACTCGATCGCGCAGCGCACATCCCACCCGCAAGCAAGCATCGCTGTCCGGAACAAAGGCCTGAGGCTCCAATGATCTCTCCGGTTATATGTTAGCTTGCGCATTTTGATCTTCCATCTCAAGACCGATCCTGGTTGGCCATGCAATCCCCTTTTAAAACGGCAGCCATCTTCTCCATGCACCAGTGCTAATGCATTCATCTCGGTGGCACCCCCGGGTAGGGGAGGGAACCCCTTTATGCATAAATAAACATCAAACAGTGCCGAAGCAAATTCCTTAGTATGTTTAAGGAGCGTGCGTCATCGCACAGCAGCTGCGTGGGCGATCTGGGGAGCTGCACAGCCTCTTGTCCTTTGCCTCCACCACCTGCGAATTCGTGTTCAGCCTTCATGCCGACATAAACAGCGCCCAGATAGATAACCGCCTCACCGAAGGTCACTTCCTGAGCTCACGTCTCACTCATGCCCCATAATCCGCCAGCGAATCAGCTCGCAGGTGCTGCCGCGCATCCTAGCTCCAGACCGGTAGCCGACAAATGCTCGCTCACAAAACGGTTGACAGCTCCATGCTGTTCCTGGCGATCTCTTGGACCCGACAGGACAAAGCCCATCTCATTGAAATCCTGTTTCTCAACTTTAAACGGACACAGCCTGGTATAGGTATTGCCGTACCGGGCCGGTCGCGCCGGGACGAGGGCTCCGCGGGGTCGGCGGGACGACCAGGTCAACGTTTGGCGGCAGGGGCAAGTAAAACTCGAATTCCGAGTCCTGCACGATAAATAGTCGTTGCGAGAGCCCTCCGCTGCCAGACTGGTGGCCAGGCGTATTCCCGTTGTCGTCGACGGGGTCCAGGGCATCACGTAGCGCGAGATGTGCTGCCTTAGCCCAGATTGCAACAGCGGCAGAGTCGAGGGGATTAAGGTGCTGGTGTTCTGTAGTCACAGCCACCTCAGCCTGAAGGGGGCCGTCGGCCCGGTTGAGACGGTGAAAAGCCCAGTGTGAGGAGTTGGGTTCTGGTACAACCGTGTTGGACTTGACCAGGGGTTGTCTTTGAAGGATGACCGCCGCGTCGCCTTTGCTTTCGCCGAACAGTCGGCCTGGGGAAAGCCGATCGGCCCAGGAGCGCGTCGAATCCTTGCGGCACTTGCCATCGTCAAATATCCGGCTCATGAGCAGTTGGTTTGACCAGAAGCGAGGTGTTTCCTTGCGCGGCTGGGTGCTGCTTGTAGTAGTCGACGCCGGAGCGTCCGGTCGGGGCAAACTCGACGACATACTGAGGTCTGTGAGCACGAGAGAAAGTCAAGAGAGCGTCCGGAATGTTGTCTGCTCCGGAAATGTTAACTCAGCACTATTTATATGATATAAGCTCTGAAATCTTCACCCTTGGGAGTTGGTGCGCTCGTGTCCAGTCGCTGTCAGTCGACAACCGACAGGCCAGTTGCGGCACGTTGAGCGACGGGACAGGCGCAAATTCCAAAGCAATTATAATCCTGTCTATCAAGTTATAAAGTATGGGTTTTAATAATCCTTGCATGAAATCCTAATGCGCTTCAGCGACCTAAACCGTTTCATATTTCGAGCTTGTCCAGTCTTGTCTTAACGAACACCAAGTTTGACGGTGCGCCAACTTACACAACTTGACTTGGTGACTAACGTTCAACTCACTGATTATATTTATTTGTTATCTGCTATCCCGTTGACGCAAATGCCGTCGTCACGTCGGAAGGTATGATCTGTTCAGATAGGTTGGTTGCCGTGTCACCATCGTAGCTGCATCTTGTTCCCGTCCACCAGCTCCATCAGCTATCCATTGCGCATGGTTGTGAGGCAAATAGCACGTCTCTCAAGCCTTCTGTCAGAGCGGGGTGTTGACGTGACACAGGATGCAACATGACCCACCAAAAGGTCAACAATTGCTATCCACAGTAATTCACAGCAGTACAGGAAGCGACCGCCAAAAGCCCACACGGCGAAGAAGGTGGCCCTGACGTTCGCCAATAAATTCCTGCGGCACGACTCGCCCCAGCAACAGAACCCAAAGCTCATAGTTTGGTGCCATCCTACTTTCTATCGGTGTCTTCCGACGCCACCAACATCCGGTTGAGTTCTGGTCGAGATACAACAAGTCTTGTATCGCGACGGTCCCTCCAGACCCTCTCATATCTTTAAGCTCTCGAGCTCCCACTGCCACTCCTCTATTCCCTGTCGGATTCCCTGTCGGATTGTGGCCAGAGGTCCGGTGACAAACGTGCCGACAGGGAACCAGCAGCAGGAGTGGCTCCTGTGTCTGCCATTGCAGTGCAACATAAAGGACCTGGGCAGGCCCCAGCTGCACGATCAGCGTATTATATTGCCTGCCACGTACATCACGCAGCTTCAGCCACGCATGCACACGTCTTCAAGCGTGTCTCCATGCATCTGAATGCTTGCCCTTGGCGAGCCCCCTGTGAACTTCAGCGTCGTTTTGAAGGACGCAGATGCTTAATGCTGCAAGTCCACCAGCGCAAGACCCGCACAAGATCAGCTTTCTACCATGTCCAGGATCTCGTTGCCAAAGATGTTCAGGGCTGTATCCGACGGACAGCTGGATAATAACCCCAGCCTCCAACATCAGGTTGCTGCAGCCGAACCGAAAGCTTAGGCGCACCGCCAGCATGTGTGTGCCGGCCTGCGGCTCAATTGCAACAATCACAGCAATGGCACTAACCTTGCACATTGTAGCCGATTTGGGTCGGGCTGCTCTGGCAACAGGACAGCTTGTCAGCTCCAGGGCTGGTCCCGCAAAGTGGCGTGCTTCAAGCTCCAGGCTGCTTTTGTTATTGCTGCTGCTGCTGCTGTCGTCGGTGCCGATATTCCTACCGTCTTGTGTGCGCCGTTCGCAGCCTGATGGGCTTACGTTAGGTGAGATGCTTCCTGGAGTCCTTAAACTGCTTCTTACAAGGGAGGCAGCAGCGCTGCCGACACACTGCCCTGTGCATCTGGTGTTACTGCTTCTATCAATGTCCATTGAAAAAGCACAGCAACGCATCTACTCTTGAAGGAAAACCAGCAGGGGGCTTCACTCCAAGCACCCGACTGGGGGCCCATGGAGGAGCTTCCCGAGCATGCGAGTCAGAAGGGGGCCGATGACGATTTATTCGAATCATTTATCCAGACAGGAGGTACTACCGCCGATGGCTGCTGTGCTTGATTGCAGAGGAGGTGTTGGAAATCGGGTATGGGAGGCGGGGTTGGCCTTATGACCAGGTTTCAAAAACTTTTCCACACGTCCGCAACATTGCTCCACGAACATGTGTAGCCCCCGAGCGCGTATAGGAAACATGGCGAATACGGCAAGGTCCATCCGTGCATGAGTGTAAGGGACATACTTGCATTTTTCCTATCCCCCCTGTCGCCGCATCCATTCTGAAATCCTGTAAACAATTGAGGAAATCACTTACCTAGCTTTCGGCTTCCCTCATAAACCGAGTCGTCCTTCCCAAGTATTCTCATGCTATGTTCTCATGTCGCGCTAATGAAGTCATTAACCTAATAGCCATGAATTTGAGGGCGCTACCAAAGGCACCCGTGTCCACCATCCGCCACTGGAGCGAACATGCCCGAAACGCTTCCCAGCCGCAATAATGACTTCTGGTGGGTCATTACCAGAGAAATCATGAAGGCATCCCGTCAAATCGGCCCCTGTCCCCGGGTTTGCATCCCGACTAATAGTGTACTTCAGCACCGTCATGCAGGGACTAACACGGCACGAAGCCCAGAATTTTATAAAAAAAACCACACCACTCCATTACCCACGGCATCTACATTCCCCCGGTCTCCAGTAAACACTCCGTCAACCCTCCCTGGCTGTGGGAGCCCCCTTCCACGTCGGACGATGTTATCTCATCATCCATCCATTCTCACGCCAAAACAGTCCGCTGATTCTTCCAAAAGTCATCCGCTCAATCAGACCAGCCAGGCAGGTAGCTGACTTCCTCAGTCATGCACCACCACCACCACAACACGCCACGAGGCCCGGATACCCAACCTTCCCAACATATATAGCACTGTTCGCTCCAGAAAGCGCCCCAGACAGCTTGAAGTACAGCAGGCAGGTACTTTTTAACAACTGTACACGGCTACTCCGTAATCTGCACACTTCACTCGGCTATCATGGTTACATCCTCATATTTTCTACCCCACCACGCCAACCAGCAAGCCACATAGCAAATACTATGGGCTGCAGCCCTGTACACACGCGGCCGCTTGCGACGGCCAGAATGACTCCACCGGCCTGATCAGTATATGCATACACACAATAACGCACACATGCACATACATACATACATGCATACATATACAAGTTCAGGCACTGCTGGTGACGCACGCATCAATGCCCCCGGAGGTTCCGCGATCGAGACTGACCAAGGTCGAAAATCCTTCCGATGGTGGTAGGTAAGAGTGCCCCTAGTCGATGGGCGGTGGTGATCTGGGATAAAGTAGACCTGCAAGCTGACCAGGAATGGAGTTGATCCGGCAGATTCCGTTGAATGCCGGTGGTGGGTGCTGAACCTGAACGATCCACTGAGAAGTCGGCTAGGGTGACTGGATGAGGGTGCCCCGAAATACCGGGGAAGGCAGGTTTTCACCGGGTAGCGGCCGCGGGTGAAGATATGCCCCCCTGTCCCACACATCATACATATCTATTCACCAGGGTAGCGCAGCAGCGCTGTTCGGTCGCACACGCGGTTGGCGTCCCACTGCCGTTGCATCGACGAGACACAAACACTCTCCACCCTTATCTCCATTCCTGACAATCTAAACGACATGTGCACGCTGCTGTAGTAACCGAGTTGGCACTTCACAGGCAGAGCCTCGCTCCTCTCCCTGGTGAAGCAGCAGCGAGGGGAGCAGTACTAGGCACCCTGGGCTGCTGGCAGGCTGCAGGGTGGGAGCCTTGAAGTACAGAGCACGGCTCTGAGTGACGCTGAGGACTTGCATCGTGTCGTGTCTTCTGCATTAAGCACACTTCTGATGGATGCTCTCCACCACAACCGAAGCTGATCTTACTCTGCCTCGGGAGAAACGTCCTCCGCTTCAGCAACTGCTGCTAACGGTTGCTAGTGTAGTACGAGGTAGAGCTGACGTACGTAGTGGCGTCGTCGGCAGCAGGGACAAATCCCGCCCGGCCGCCGCCGCCACCGCCTCCTCGCGGCCCTCCGCTGCGTAGACTGGGCCCCGTAATCTGCAGCTCTGGGTTTCTCCGCCTGCCGTACTGCGGCGGCTGGTACTGGGCCTTCCACGCGTCGTTCATGCTCGCATGGGCTTGCGTCTGGAACCCAGCAGCAGCTGCAACCACGTGACAGCGGGGCCGGTTCCCGGGCGTGGGACGTAAGCAACACTCCCCCAATAAAACTGGCTTAGCCGCGCGCTCACCCTTGACTGCTGTTGCAGCTGAAGCACCGTCAATGGTTGCCTTGGATACACAACCCTAGCGGTGTTTCCCTCTTGTGAAGAACCAGCATATCGTGCAGCCCCATGCACTACCGGATTTGGTGCAATAAGGTTTATTCTGCCTGGAAGCGCCGCAGCCAGTTCCGCTAACTCTAGGCCTCGCAGGGCGTCAACCTTCGCTGCGCCCATACGGACTGACAAGCAACCCGTCCATCGCACCAAGCTCTTACCGCCGAAGTGCGTGGCGAAGGGTGCGCCCGCGTGTGCCGAGGTCGGCCGCTTCCCCGCCGCGGGTAACAAGTTCGGAGACAGCCGCTGCACCTTGGGCCCAGAGTCCTGGGGTCCACCATAAATGACATCCTGATCAAAGGCAGGGAGGGCAAAAAAGAGACATTGGCAAAAGCGTTATTGCGCAGTGGCCCACAGGCGGTGGGAAAGGTGGGAATTGTCATTCACGCGCTTGCCACCCGACTGATTATGGCCAGGGACGCCCCTATCCCCAGGGACTTCCACCGAGTCCCGATCGCCGGCCCTCATACATAACATTAACCGAGAAACAAAACACTCGCACTCGCCCAAAACATTCTACGGACATAGCACGCTTGCCAGCGCCTGAAAGAGGAACGATAACGGGCAAGGTGCAAAAGACGAACCGAGCCGAGCAGGGCACGGAGCCGCAAGCCACTGGTTACCTTGGCATGGTCTTGCTTTCCCGCGTGCAGGTTGGCCTTTGCTTGCTGCGCGAGCAGGAACGTAAAGGCGCAAACAAAGGGTTATTAAGTATGACATGCACAAGCAGACTGGAAAACGGAGCCAACCAAACGGCACAGCGTTCCTGACCCACCAGGAATAAAACAATTCCTGGGGACGAAAAAGTCTACACGCGACGTGCAGCTTAAGACTGACTAATAACCTTGCGCACATCACTGCCCTGAATAAAATTCAGGCCAGACATACGCGTCGGTGGAAGCATGTATCCACCGTGCAATGCATAGAGCAGGAAGCGGGTACGTGATCGCGCTCGCGCGTCTTGAGCCGCCCCCTCAGCTTAGCTACACCCCTTCTTTTCGCAAAACCCTCATCCATCACATGCTCTCCACGCCGCCCGCAACCTGCGTTCGCACGCTTTCGAGGTAACCCACTTGCAACCGATCCGCCTGCTGTCGCGCCACCTCGCTCTCCTGTATCTGGATCTTGTTCACATCCGCCGCTAAATCTTCCCAGGCATAGCGGGGGCCGTCGCCGTTCTGGTGCACCGCATACGGCGGCGGCCCCGGCGACGCCTGGCCGTATTTCCCTCCCGGGGGCGAGCCGTTGTAGTCCCGCTGGTTATACGGGTGTGGCGGGGGACTGTATGCTTGCGCAGGGCCCGCACCCGCACCCCCTCCTGGTAACGCAAACGGGTGATTGGCAGGTGCACGTCCGCCACCGCCAGGCTGGTTGTTGTACGGTGAATATGCTCCCCCCGGGGACTGCTGGTAAGGATACTGAGGCGACTGCTGCGGCGGCGGCGGCTGCCGCTGGGGCTGCTGGGGCGAAGCATACATCCCAGCAGGCCCCGGCGAGCCGGCTGCGCCAATGAAAGGATGCCCGGCGGGAGCTGCTGCCGCCGGTGGAGTTGCTGCTGCCGGGGGTGATTGGCCACCCTTGGGCGCCGCGAAGGCCCCTTTATCGTCTGGGGCGGGACGGGGGTTCAGATCGATGTTGAGTGCCTTGGCTTTAGCTACCAGCGCTGGATTTCGGAGCAGCAGGGAGGTGTCGGGACGGCTCTCGGGTTTGAAGGTGAGGCATGAGGTGACCAGCTGGATGAGGGCGGGCGAGAAGGGACCCTGTACAGGCTTGAACTGGCCGCGTACAATTTTGCGGATGAGGGCTGCCTCATTGTTGTTGTCAACATCGAAGGGGTAGCAACCCATGCAACACTCGTACAGCACGACGCCCAAGGACCAAATGTCCGACTTGATGTTGTATGGCTTGTCCTCGCAGACCTCTGGTGCGAGGTAGTATGGTGTCCCCAGTTGTGTGCGTGCCAGATTGGAGCTGGCAGAGAGGGCCCTGGCAACACCCAAATCGCCAATTTTAATGTTGTCGTTCGCGTCAATGAATAGATTTGCCGATTTGATGTCGCGATGGATGATTTTTTTGGAGTGCAAGTAGTGAAGCCCGAGGAGCGTCTGGATGACAATTCGCCACACGCCGTCCTCCGGCATTGCTCTACCTCTAAATTTCTTAAGGAGTTCCTTAACGCTCCCCTTGGAGGCATACTCCATCACAATATTTAGCCGGTTCTCCGCGTCAATGAAGCTGTCATAATACCGAATAACGTGCGGGTGGTTCAGCTGCGACAGCATACGAGCCTCGTCGATGGCCATAGCAGTCTCCATACGCGTCTTAATTTGGGACAAGTCGACCTGCTTCACCGCAAACTCGCGTCCATCTGACTTGCGAACTGCCTTGTAGACCGCCCCAAAAGCACCTTTATCGATGTACTTAAGGTCGTATTCTGCCAAGCGGCCATTGGGAGCTGCCGGTGCGGCCATCTCGCGCGGCCTTGCGGGTAGATTTATCAACGTTTCTGAACAGGTCAACGTCGCGATTCCAAAGCAGGATTATTTAAGGCAAACAAACTGTGGTAACGTAAACTGTTTTGCTTCTTGTTTACCCATAACGAAAAGCCCCGGCAGGCAGCGGTTCGGGAGAGCTAGACGGTTACAAGGGCCTAAGCCAGCTGGGTGAACTATCCTATCTGACATTTGATTGTGATTACATCAGTGTGGAGCTTGACTGCGCTAACCGGCAAACCGCACGTCCGAAACCACGGAAACGCGTACGGCAACGAATGCGCACGCTAACCTAAATAATCGAATTGCGCCTGGTGTAATATGATTCCTCTCGTCATAGGTAAATGGCAAAGATATCCTCGGATTCCATACCGGTCGTGCAGGTACCAAGAGTCCCTGTTATTCGTGAGGCGTGGGTAAGCGAGGGTAGTTTCGCCAACGTTTACTAATACAGTACCTGTCCAATACAACCCCTCTAGGAAACTGCTTGTCTGTCCGGCATGAGATCAGCTAAAGAAACTATAAAGGCATTAATGGGGTTTAGGATACGACCGGGGATTAGAGCTCCGGTTGCGTTCCTACGCAGGAGCTAAGCATGCCCCACGCACGTTTGTAGCCTTTTTGCCGGCAGGAGATTTCCGCGCCTCTTACATGTAAGTTGCTGTCCATGCTGTCCACGCTTGTGAAACCGTAGACATTTCCAACGCTACGGTTTTTAGGCAGCCTTGGCCCCGAATCGAATCGGAGAGTAGAGCCTGATACGCGGATAGAGAGAAGGCGGAGAACCGAAGTCCGTGGTGCAGGGCAAGGGACGAGCAAAATGCTACGGCACTGAAAAAGGATTGCAAGTCGCACATGCTCACTACCTGCCTTGTGGCGGCATTTGTGGGTTCGAATTCCACTTGGATCTTGGTGCAAGGATGAACACTCAATCCAAGTCTACTGGACAGCCACAACACGCGGTTTAGGTAATCTGGAACTGGGTCGCACGAGGCTCCGGAGCCCTTGGGATTTCTGTCCTGGTTGATTTGAGTAGCACGGTTACCTCATTGCGAGCTCTACATGTCAAGGTGATGGTTGTGATGGTGGGCGTGGTACATCTTTAGTACGGCAGGTGGGGTGCTACGACGGAAATCGGTTGATGTGTATGATAGCCGTGTACGACACGCCATACATCTTACCTATGGCGAACGTAGTAGTACGTATTTGTGTGCACTACCGTTTGACCTCGCCACAAGGCTAATAAAGCCTCGTGAAGGGAAGCTCTGTTGGACAGTGAGACGATGGCAACAGACGCGCCTAGGGAATCTTATCTTTGATGTAGGTAGCTCTTGGGTCCTACCCCTTGTGGAAGAAGGCAGGACCCTCATTTACGAGGTCTGCTGCTGCGCTATCTTTAGTCAGTGTAGGGGTGTACAACGTTAGGCCTGATCCTGTTCATGTTTTTGGGTTCTATGCATGCACGAAGCGCAGAGCGCGATGCAACCCGCCTTTACGAAGGGGTAAAGGTTACCGCTGATGCTGCGGCCGGCTTGAATACCGAAACACGGACACCTAATCCTCAGTCACTCTGCTGCGGCGATGGCGGCCACATATAATCTCGCTCTAACCCACGAATCCATTGTACCAGCAGACATACATTCATACGTAGGGAAAAGCGGGTGCTAAAGCAAACTTCCGTACTACGGCAGTCGGGCGAAATCGTCGTACTTTACAGAAATAAAGCAACATCCATATAGAGTTAAACTGAAGTTGTCAGAGACCACCGATACGCTTGGAAAGGGAGGGGCTCAGGGTGGAGATGGCGCCGATGGCGGCAGCTTTGTCGTACTGATGTACAGGCATTTGTACAATGGCCGCAACCCCACCCCCACAACCCTAGAACACCGTTCAACCACTGCCCTGCAGGATGCCGACATAGCTCACTAAGAACCCCAGCGTCCCAGTGCCCAATGCCAGTGCAGCTGCACACTCGAATCTCACTCCGCATGTATACCTCCTGCTCTCACACTAGAACGTGACGACCTTGTGCTTCTTGCTGCCAGGCCCCGCCGCCGGCTGCACAGCCCCTTGTTTGCCCCAGCTCGGCACCTCCCGCTCCTCGCCCGCTGGCCCCTCCTCCGCCCCGTCCTCTGAGCCTCCCATGCCCGCCCGTCGCTCTGCTTTCCTCTTCGCCTTGGCCTGCTTAGCCGCCTTCTTCAGCCGCTCCTTCTTACTCAAGGTCAGCTTGTCCTCCTCCGCCTCAAACTCTGCGATATTCGCAAAGTCGTCATCCAGCGCGTCCGCACTGTACGGAACCTTATCCGCGCCCGGTGCTGGCGCCGAGGCTGCAGGCTGTTTTGCGGCTCTGTCCGCAGCGGTCGGGGTCGGGGTCGTAGCCGCAACAGCACCTTCCTCCTCACCGTCTATGGAGCCCTTCATCCTGCCGGCGCCCTGCTCCCCAGCCCGCTGCTGTTTGAGCTTCCGGGCCTCGGCATTGGAAGTGCGCTGCAACACACCGCCCTGGCGAGACTTGACGGCTGCCACCGCCGCCGCCACCACATCCTCCTCCTCCTCCTCGCCATCCTCCTCCTCGTTTTCCCTCGGCCGTACGCCCGCACCCTCCTCGTCGCCGTTGGCCGCTGTTGCTGCTGCAGGGTTCCTCCCGGCGCCGCCGTCGCCTTTCCGTCTCTCCGCTCTACCCCGTTTCAGCTGTGTTTGCTGCTGGTGATGTTGCTGCTCGTCGTCTTCGCCGTCACTACCCGCGGTAACCTCCTCCTCATCGTCCTTTATCTTCTTCTCCTTCTCTTCCCCCTGCTGCTGTACGGTTGATTTCGCCTTCTCCAGCGCCGCCCTCACAGCGTCCAGCATCTTGTGTCGCATGTTGACCACATTCTTGGTCGCCACTTCTCCTGCAGAGCGGTGTTGAGCAGGTGTTGGTGACCGAGCGTGCCGTCACGTGCACGTCCAACGTCCCAAACATGTCAGGTCGAATTGACCGATTCAACAGCCAAGCCACTCGAGGCTTAGGAACACTCCTTACCACCGGAACCGCAAAATTCACCACTAAGCCGATGCCTACACGACCCGCCCCGAAACCCAACCCGGCAGCCCACCCCTGTCCCAGCATTCCCACCCAACACGCTCCTGACACATACCAATATTTACAACACCCAACACCCCAATATTTACAAAAGCCCTAATCCGCCTCCTTTGTACAGTACCAGATGCCGGATGTCCCCGAACCACCTCAGCGTCAGTGACTCTGGATCCTGGTGGGCCAACCCCCCCCCGTGGGAGCCGCTTCCAGAGGCTGATTCCACCCGAGCCCCCCCACCACGAGCAGCCGCCGAGCCGTCACGTACCTGGGGCCTTGGTGGACAGCGCCACCACGCAGTTGCCGTTGGCCACGTCCCGGGGCCCCAGCTCCACCCGCACTCGCACACCCATAGTCTCCCTGGGCGGGCAGGGACCAGGAGCGAAGCGCTGCGCAGCTTAGAGAGGGACATGTGCACAGCGCCTTCAATATTGCTCCGAAACCTTGGGGATTCCGTGGGGTCGCCTCGCACGGGCTTGGTGGCCAGAGCGCAGTGCCATTCCTCCAGGCTGCCATCAGCTGATCTACTGCTGCCGCTGCAGCTACCCCTCCCCTTCCTAGGCCCCCTCCGCTCTACCTCGCTTCCCCTCCCCGCCGCCGCCGCCGCCCTCCCCGTCCTCCTCCATCCCTCCATCATCATCATCATCAACCTGAGATTTCTGCTCACCAGTACTTCATCTTCTGTCCCGGGGTGTACTTATTGGACGCGTCCATATCCGCGCTGAGACCAGCAGACGCCAAAATGTCGCGCGCTCGCTCCGAAGCCGCCAGCACGGCTGTCTTTTCCTCCTTGTTATTGTTCCAAAAAATGGGCAGCACGATCACCTGCCGCCAGCAAGCGAGGGTGTAGGAGGGTAGCAGGTGGGCAGGGCCCTCTTCGGTGGGACAGCAAAAGAGGGGACGCGGTCGTACGGGCATATGCCGTGCTGGAGGGCAATGGCGAACCGCGGACGCGTAACCCCCGGCCGGGCGGTTGGTCGGTCTGCCGGACCAGAGGTAGGTGTCCGGTTTATTGAGACCCTCTTGGTGACGTAAGCCCTGGCACCAACATAGCTCACGAACGAATCCTTGAACTTCACGACCTCGCACATCTTGGAGTCGCGACCCCCACATGCAGAGCTTGTGTCAACGTTTTCAAGGCACACCCTTGCAAGTTCCGTATTCTTTGCTTGGGCTAGATGGGTGTGCCCTTTACTGCCCCTTGCGGCCAGATTTTCCTCTTCCCACTCCAGTGGCAATGTGGTACGCCTAGGTAGAGGAGATATCTATCCAATTGACGTCCGTCGTCTGCCTGGAACATCATCCTGCGATGGGGCCTGAAACCCACACCCTCACCCGTACAGACCTCCACAGAACTGAAAGGTCGCCACCCCGGTGTTTTGTCGCCCAGGTAGTGCCGGCCCTTGCGGTCTTCACCGCCTTTGCCGGAACCCTCCAGCTGCTGACGCCGCTTCCCGCTTTCCGAGACGCGTGGCTGGGAGCCCTTTCTAGGGGGAACGTAGTCCTTGCCCTCTGTCCTGAGCTTCATGGCCAGGGCGCGCAGCTCCCGCTGTCGCTGTCGCCGCGCCGCCTCCTCGGGATCGAGCGGTTGCTGTTGCTGGTGCTCCGTGCCACGCTTGTGACGCCGCTGCTTTTTGCGAGCGGGGACGGCACCTGCGGCTCCCTCTGCTTCTGTTGTCGTTGGCGGTGCGGGTTGTGTGGCGGACGGCTGGTTCTCTGCGAGCACCTGCACCCCAGCGGAGGCATCGCCAATCCTGCGAGTATCACGGGTATGATGTAAGCTACCAGATCTTAGGAATGGATCGCTAGCTCCTCAAAAGCATTCTTCTCGCAGTATCGGCGGCGGACATCCGAGGGACCACAGACCAAGCCCTACCGCTTGCGTTTTTTTTCCAATTTTTGTTTGTCATCAGGTTTAGACTTATTGAAGTTCTTGAGCATCTTCGCCGAGCTTCTTCGCGTTCGACAGCCAAATATGTAAAGTGGTACCTTGCTTATCCCTCCATAGTAAATTGCCACCACCGTAGCTTTACTATTAGGATTGCACATGAAAAATGGATTGGCGTAGTCAGTTAGGCGCAGTCCGTACTACTAACGGCAGATATTAACAGAATTCTGTTATGGCGCAAGAATCACTCACTCTTGCCTCACTCACTTCTTATGCTTGGACCATTTTGCATTCATCTTTGAGTTTTTCAAGCAGCAAGGCTCAAGGCTACCATAAACCTTCAGGGTTTAGCCGCAGCAGCCGACTTCCTCATACTTTCTGCTTTAATTGTCCGGCGGTGGATCCACAGGTAATACCTTCACGTCCGGTCACTATTGGAAGGCACTGCAGCCAGGTCTACCTCGCTTGTGCCTGCAAACTACCTAAGTAGGACGATTTTGTTAATAAGCAAAGCACGCGTCCATAGGCGATAATAGTTGTCTTTTCGTCTGACCTCCATGCATATTGTATACTTGGCCCCATTCCTCGTGCTTGTCAGGTCGTGGTGTGCTATGCGATGGCACATACTACGGTATGCGGAGTATGAAATGCAACTGATACGAATTCTATTTTGCTAAATTGCGTTCTTAATCACTTGGTGCCCAACAGGTTATTGCGCTATGAGCAAGCGCAAGCGCAGCGCTTTCCTCCTGTGCGACGAGGAACCGGACGTCCACATCCTTGTCGCGCGCGCCACGGAACCTATTTCCGCGCACTTCGATGTACTGCGGCTTTACAGTGGATGCGCCCAGGACCTTCCACGAGGCGAAGGAGGAGCCCCCACTATATGGAACCTACGCAATCTACTTCTTGAGGGCGAGTCAGACCCTGTATCGCCAAGCGTGGTCGAGAGTTGGTTGGACATGGTATACTCCCACGTCGACACTAGCCGGCGCAAGAGGACATTTTTACGCCTGCAAGAAGTCAAGCCGCTGGTGCTCTTTGCGGACGCCGTGTGTACCTGTGATGCTGCCATGCGGGAGTTGTGCGACATGCTCGTCAACCAGACGGCGTTGCAGCTGGATGTACCGCTAGGCGAGGAAACCCTGCAAATTATGCTTCAGGGTCGCATTTACTACGTCAGAGACCTGGAGGGCCTCACCTCCATCAGCACTACCGATGGCTCGCCGAGCGCCATCGAAGCTCCAAAGGCTGTGTACGCTCTGCACGCCAAGAATTTTACCACCACCCTCGGTCAGCAGCTAGAGTCATGGCTGTATCTGGCGGGCCGACTACAGATGTTGCCGCTGGTTCAACTCCTCATCAACTTTATCAAGACGCAGCTCCTTGCAGGCTGCAGCTCGCCTCTTGCAGCGGCCGTGGGCAACATCTACAGTCCTCGCGTCCTGCAGTGCATGCCACGCGAGTTGCTGTATGCGGGGTTCCTGCGGGACACCCTGTTGTACCGTCCCAACGACCTGCAGCTCAAGACAATTCCAGACGGTTTAAAAGTAAAACTCGTGACGGCCGAAGCCGCTACGGCGCTCCGGCTGTACAGTCATAGTGATGTTCTTCATGACCTGGCGCCAGGCAAGTCTATCGAGAATGCACATTTACTACACTTGAGCAACCGCTCACGTGTGGCCAAACCGTTGCACAACGCGCCCGTTAACGTGTCGGTTGGTGGGCTCAATGCGAAACTATGTGAGAAGATCGTGCAAGCGGCGTTGGACAAGGCCATTGCCCATGAGTAAGCTGCATCAGTTACTGGCCGAACCTGACCCGAGTTTTCAAAACGGGGAGTGCCATGTCGGGCACGTAAGGCATCAAGGTATTCTTCGCTGGTCCATTCTATGTGGATCTGGCCAAGAGCCAAGTATCGGGAAAGTTTTCTCGTGTAGGGATGTTTGCAAGATGAACGATGCCACTGCTTTCGTAAATATCGAAGTAGATATCCTAGAGAGTTCTAGCCTCACTATCTGGTGTACTGTCGAACCTATCTTTGCGAATCATCAGCAGGAAATGCTCAATAGACTCAGGGGGTGGACCGGCTGAACGGATGCATTGGCTTGTTCTCCCACGATGGTGCTTAGACGATTGCTCTGATGCTCAAGTCGCCGATGCATTCGCTGAAATGGCGGAGAGTATTGTATCACTTTTTAGCATTTCGTGAATTGAGGCGCAGGTCCAAACGGCGCACCTGACATCATTCTTATGTGGGATTATCTGTACTGTAGCTGAACTTTGTTCTTGCATGCTTCGATTAACGTCAAGTGGACGAAAAGGAGATGCAAGCGGAAGCTGGCCCCAGCCAATCCGATCCTTGGGTGTTACATATAGGGGTGTTATATATGGTTCTATATGGGTTGTGCATGGGTTGTATACTGCGGCGGAAGCGTTGAGAGGTTGGTTTAAACTGCTCTCCTCCATGGTATGGCTTGCATTGGGTATGACGCTTGGAGGTCTCCCGCTGCGTGCTGTACGGAGGATGCTTGCGAGCGGGTAATGCCTGCGTGTACGGTTTTGCAAGTCTTTGCATGTCGTAAAGGCGTCACAAACGGTACGTGATGTCGCAGAGTTTATGTGTCACGTGATGCTTACATACTTGGTCTATGTACAGATTGTTTGGTCTTCGGTCATTTCGCTTCAAAAGCCTCTTCCCCCACAACCCCAAGACTAAACTTAGCAGCTACGGACCTCGCATCCACGGGCAATCGACATCACCACCACCTGTTGCCTTCATACGCGCGGCATGCGAGCCGACGAGGGCCTGAATACATCCGCCACCCCACAATAGCATTTCATGTCTGAAAGGTTATGTCCACGTCAACAACTGCAGCATAATCCAAGGAACAAATCCAATTTGTCTCGTCTCCAATTTGTCGCGTCACCGCAAGCAGCAGCCTCTCCAGTCTCCTCCGGCAAGAAGGTAGTAGCGCCAAAAAGATTACCTGAAGACATCGTAAATAATGCAATGTTTGCGAATACTGCGGTGTAAAAGCGGTGCTAAACCCTAAGTGAAAACCATTGCAACGTACAATCGCAGAGGCACAACTCCGTACAAAACATCACATATAACGGCTGCACGTGGACTCAGCGGGAATCAGATCACACCCATCAGTACCACCAGAGACCAGACCGCCTGCACGACATACCACCACGCAATCCTGCACCTCCACAGCTTCACACACGCCAGATCACGGAAATATGAAATCCATACCTGAATGTACGACGGCCAATTTCCGGGTGTTGATCAATGGTGGCAAACAAGTTGTCCTTGGACGCCAGGCCCGCTGCTGCCGCCATACCAGCGGGTTTAAGCTCCCTAGGCCCGCGATACATGGTGCACGCCGTGAACTCCAGGGAAGGGTTGTTGCAGCTGTGTTGGGCGGGGGCGGCAGTGTGGTAATATGGCGGAATCGGTATAAGTAGGGGCTTAGGGGTTTTTGCGAGATGGGAGATGCAGGCGGAAGGTGAAGGAAGAGATTAGTGAGAGGGGGTATATAGCGCATAGAGCCTCGCAAGAAATTAAAGACATGCGCGCCTGCGGTAATGATAGGGAGCTGTTATGGGTGCCAGTGCGATCACGTGCCCTCCCATAAGCCAGGACTAGAATGCCAAAAATCTAAAAAGAGATCCGGACCAAGTATACCAATGTACTAAATATAACCATCACACCAACACGCATTGCGGCATTAGCAGCGCACACCACGCGGGAGGCCAGAAACTATCCATATGCAATTCACGGGTTACTGGGATAAACCCTAGCAACGCCGTACAGCTGAACTGCACATACCGGTTGCAGCGGTTGGCGGGGAAGCGGACGCCTAGGGTTGTGATGCGCGCGTTGCAGTGGTCGCACGTCCAGAAGCGCTTCAGCGTGGTGGTCTTGCTCAGCGTGTGGCCATCTGCTCGGCACTGCTTATCCAGGAACTCCGACAACCGGTTGCACTCCCTGCAATGCCAGGCGGTCAGCTGAAGCACCCACACAACCACAGCAGCACCCACAACGTCAAGGCAGGTAGGGATAGAGAGAGGAAGGCAGTAAGGTAACCGCTAGACCAATGGTCAATTAATTGCACGGTGGCAGCCACAATGCGCCCCAAAGAGCAATGACTATCTACAGCTACAGGACAGCTAAACCCTAAGATACCAGCAAGCACACTAACAAACACAAGCATATGCACGTAACCCCAACTCAATGTCATGAGCGCCAGTGAGATGCAGCATAACTCTATACCCCTTACAAGGTAGGAGACCCTAGCAACCCCCTTCGGACGCCCCTGCCTGCCCCCCACGAGCAAAATCTCGAGCACAAACTCCCGTGCCACACATCCACGACAGCGAGCAGGGCTGCTGCCGTCATGACCCGGCCCCCCCTGGCACATTGGCCCCCACAGCTGCGGCACGCACCTTCAGATGTGAGATGCTGTCCAGCTGCTTCACGAGCGCATCCCGGGCCTCCAGTCCCTCCAGCATAGACAGCACCGCCTCACCTGCACACCAAAACACAAGACGTTGTTGGCGATCAGTTGGTCAGTATCAGGTATAGGCCGCAATGGCGGCCCCCGTAGGCGGCCTTTATCTGCCAAGAGTGCGCCTTGCCTTGGGTCGCGGCCTGTTGCATCTGGCTCGTGCTTCAACACGTATATACTACACGCGAACACTACACGTATACTGTTGTGGCGAGTGCCGAGGTGGTTTGCCGAACTGCCAATCAGGCATGCGACGCGAACCGCGAGCTAGCCAGCAGACCGACCAGCCAGCCAGCCAGCCAACCACCGAATGTGCAGCTGGCGAGATCAAGGCCAAGGGACTCATTAATAATGCGGCTGAATTGCTGCTGGTGTAACTTGGATGAAATGGACGCAAGGAACTACTATTACCTGCCGGGTCAGAACCCCAGGCAAACAGCTAGAACGCCAACCACCACATCAACAGCATAAACATACATACATACACACACACAGGATTGTCCCCCCACCAGCTGCCTCTTCAGACAGCTCGCTGTAGCGCGACTCCACGGCCGCCTCCGGTAGCGGCTTCACGAGCCCCCCAAAGGCTGCCGCCATGGCCGACAACGGCGCCGCGGCGGCGGTGGCGGCGGCAGCCGCTCCCGCCAACGCTGACCTCTGTGCCCCGCCCGGCGTGCCGCGGGCCCCAGCGCGCGGCATCGGCAGACCCTTGGCTGCGGCAAGGGCTGCCGCCGCTGCGGCTCCTGAAGCCTGTGGTCTGGCGCCGCCGGAGGCGTTGGCAGCACCGAGCGGCCTAGTTGGCGCTGCTGCTGCCGCCACCGGTGTCGCAGTTGCAGCCGGAGTCTTGAGCCCCAGGGACTTGAGTTTCTCATCACGTGCCTTCGTCGCGGCGGCTTGCTGCTTGCGTGCCTCCGCCGCCCTGGCGGCCGGCGCCGTCGACAGCCCCGCGACTCGGGGCAGTAACCCCGTCGCGGCGGCGGCCGGTGTGCCGGTGCCGGCGGCGCGTACAGCGCCGGTGCCCCCGGCGGCGCCCGGGGCCTCACCTGCGGCTGTGGGTCCCGACGTCCCTGCGGGCTTCCCTGTAGCTGATGTTTGTTGACGAGTACTCGGAGGCGGCTGGGTATGGCCGTTTACTGTTCCCTCGAGCACATGCTCACGGCAGTTTTGCTGCTGCGCACTGACCGCACCCACGGCCCCGGTCCCGAGAGGCTCTTCCACTTCATCTTGCAGCTCGGGAAAGAGCTCTAATAGCTCGTCGAGACCGCACCCCTCGGCTTTCGCAGCGTCTGCATCGCGACCAAGGCCGCAAGCCTCCTTTCCCGAAGGGCCTGGCTGCGCGTCCGGAAACACGCCCCGCTGCGGCGGCCCTGCGGCATCTTGGCATGCGCTCCTTCGCGGCTGCTGCTGCTGCTCCTTGCCCTCAACCGCCGAAGACAGACCCTCCTCCTCTCCGTCCATGAGCTCGATATCCTCCTCGCAGCCTTCGCAACCAGTAGATCCGGATCGAGCACGAGGTTCAGGCCCAGATCCACGGCTGGATCCGCGAGTGCAACCCCCGCATTCAGCACCAGAGGTACCAGCAGCCCTAACTCGTTCCCGGCCCGTTCCAGCGGCATCTTGCGGCTCCGAAAAATCCGCATCCCCTAGGTCCTCCTCAATTTCATCCTCCTCCAGCTCAATTACCAGCAAATCGTCATGACCCTCATCCACGTCACCACCGCCGCCAGCACCTTCATGCCCACTGCTACGCATCCCCGGGCCTTCCGTAGCTACTGCCTCGCCGCTGCTGCTACTGCCGTCGCGACCTGCGGCCCCAGCACTGGATCGCCGCTGCCGCCGCGGAATCAGCTCCTGCCCGCCAGCAGTCGATGACGCCCTCCGCGTTGCCGTCCCTGCTTGCACTGCGGCTTCGGGTGCCTTATCAACGGCCGATGCGTCCGTTGCCGGGGGTTTCAACAGGACCGCCAAATGCGCGGGAAGTGGCGGCGGCATGGAGATACGCGGGGCGCTGAGGTTAGGTTGCCTCCGGCCCCCGGTGCCCGCCGGTGGCGCGGGTACAGCAGCCGGTGGCGTGTGCTGGACTGCCGCGGCGCCGCTGGACTGAGCCCTGTCGAGTTGCCCGGCCGCCCTGGCGGCGGCAATGGCCCGTGCCTGCACATGCCAACAAGGCACCACATGGCATGGACGTAACGCTCACCGCATTACGGATGCAAAAAAAACACAGTGTCACATCGTCTCCATTGTCTGTCCCCCCAGCGGCACACCTCCGCAGCTGCCACGTCGCCACGCAACACATGGACCTCCCCACCCAAACCCCCCACCGCCACACGCGCCCAAGCACCGACTGGCTCACCTTGACTGCACTAACAGGTGTCGTTATGGACTTAATACCGTCCCAAGCTTCACTGCTACCCGACCTGTGCCGCTTCGCCGCCGGACCACTGGGGGCCCCTGCATGTGAAGCAACAGTAGGCGGAGGCCGGAACAACAACAACAACAACAACAGCACTCCATTCAACAAAGCAGTGGGAAGAGGAGCAATAACACACGACCGAGCAATGCCCGCAACACGCAGCACCCGGATACGGACGCGGTACAATCCGTACTGCTCAGAGGAAAGCATCCCACACGACGTGTGTAGCAGGAACGACCATTACGGGTTATCCCAACTTGACAGAAAATGAACTTGATCCCCCCGGCTGGGAAGCACGTGTTCCTCATATCGCAGGGGGCACTGAGGCACCTGTCTGCCAGGAGCCTGTTATTGTGCTACGGCTGCTGTCGTTGCGGCCGTCAAGCCACACATGCACCCTAGGGAAACCCCCTCTCACTGCCCGTCTGAGCCCTCCGTACCTTCCTCCCCGGCTGCCTGGCGCTCTTGGAGGTTGGCCAGCAGCTGGGCCCCGTAGGACCGCTTACCACCCACAACACCTCCGCTGGCTGCGACATCGCCCTCCGTATCCGTCCTCACGCCGTACGCTCCCGTGCCCGCTGCCGCTGCGGCGGCAGCGCCGCTTGCCGCCCCAGGCAGCATTCTTGATGGCGGCGGCCTGGCAATGAGGGAGTTGATCCCCGCGAATGGCTTCCCCGTGAGTGCGGTCAGCTGCTTCTGTGCGGCCCGTGCCTGGGGCAGCAGCTGGCGTTGGAGCAGGTTGGCTCCCGCCATATCGGAGCGGTTGGAGGAGAGGGCGCGAAGAGCAGCCTGCGGGGGGCGCCACCAAGGTGTTACTAGCATCCTCAGTTATGACATAATACTCTACTAGGGGCACATGTGGAGGAGGCTGGGTGAAGGCTGGGGTAGTGATTAATACCAAAGCTTGGCTGTTGTGCGCAGTGTTGGGGCAACATGTCAGCAGGGTCAAAGATCTGCGGTGTTTTCTGTTCTCCGTGGCTTTTAGGCGTACAGATATTGCCCTTGGGCCTTCGGCTCGTATGGGTAGTTTTACAGGTATGGGGTCACGCACCCTCAACCATGTAACACACACACACAGCAGGGTCAACGCCACCTCAATGTTGCGCTGCCTTCTTCCTTGCCTCCCAAAATAAAGGAAAGGAGCTAGGCCCATCTAACCCCTCCCCTCCCTCCTGTCTATCCTCCTTGACAGCAGCTTCACTCATTCGTGGTTCGTCTTCTCCTCCCCCCCCCCGGCCCCAGCCACCCACCTGTGCATGGTACGGGCAGTACTCGCACGTGCTCTTGTTGATGGGCATTGTACAGCGCTGGCCGTCCTGTGGGGCAGTACGGTTTGGCAGTACCGTTTGGCAGTACGGTTGGGCAGTACGGTTGGGCAGGAGGGTGGGCTGAGCCTCATGTGTAACAATTCCACGGGGGCCCAAGGCCGGGGATACAAACCCCTTTCGAACGAAGGGCCCACCGCCAAAGATACAACATAGGGCCCTCGAAAACCCTAAATCCCCTGTATCCCCCACGTTCTAAAACCCCGCTTGCAGGACACTCGACCTACCTTGCGTGTACCGCGACACAAACCAAAGTCCGCAGACATCCCCGGCCGCTGTAGCATCTCCGGCTTGTCGATATGGAGGCTGTAGCCAGCGCCTCCGCCTCCGCCGCCAGCGCCTCCGCCTTCATCACGGCGCACCTGATGTCGCAATGGCGAGTGTTGGGCCCATGTACTTCATCAACAAGTCCAGGGAGGTCCCGTGGTGCGGCAAGAATTAAGTTTTTCTTCGGAATCTAAAAGAAATGAGAGGAAAAATAGGTTTAAGAAACCGAAGCCCACCCAAAAAATGGCAAATGACCCATGACGTGACAGCCGCCGTCGCGGCCCCACCAGCCCCAACCGCGTGCTGATTGGGATGCGAGTGCACTTGGACAATCGTTCCCCATCGCGCGCTGTGTACAGCGCAATCATATGGCCAGCCCAACGTGTCCTATAACTCCGGATACACGACATTCATCGTATCGTCCGCTCCTCCGAGAAAACTACGACATACAGATGCCGTATTTCGTAGTACAAGTCTTCTGACGCCCCACCGCTAAACCAAAGCTAAAACCGGAACCTGCCGTACCTGGGGCGACCACAGCAGCAGTACACTGCCCTCTGACTCCTTATAGTGCTCCGAAGCCGCTTTGCGCCAGAGGAACAATGACACCTGGGTAACAAATAAGCAAGGACACAAGAGAAAACACAGGCATCAGCGGCGAGCAGTGAGATGGCGTAAATCAACAAGACAGTGGCTATCTTGACTGACACAGCGCAGAGCGATCGAAGCGGTTTCGTTCGCCTCTCCTCTCTCTTCCCCATCCCCCCTCCCACCCCTTCCCCCCTCCCACCCCTTCCCCCCTCCCACCCCTTCCCCCTCCCACCCCTTGCCCCCTCCCCCCTCCCACCCCCCTCCCGCCGATACCTGCTTGCCTGCCAGGTCACTGAGGCCCCAGCGGCAGTACGGAGAACCGTCCCGTCCCGTGGCTGGGGGATGTGCGGAGGGCCAGGAGCAGGCGGGAAAGGATGGGGTACCGTCCAGGTAGGTGGGTGGGTAGATGCGCATGGGGACAAGCGTTCAAGCAAGCGGATAGGGCGACTGGCTCTCCAACGCATGCATTGTATGTATGCTCCCTGCGTGTATGCACAACATATGTATGTATGCATGTAGAATGTATATAGTATGTGTGTATGTCGTATGTATGTACAGGGTATGTCCTGCTGCACTTTGGTTCGCTCCATCAGGCACCGACTGGGAATTCGGAGAAGCTCCGGAACCCGATCTTCCTCCTCATCCGCAGCATCACCACATTGGACAGGAGGAGTGCTCCGATTTGAAAATCCTCCAACTCCCTCCAAACATACATACATACAGATCATCTGTGTGTTCGTTGGTCTTCTCCCAATCCACCTGCAAAACCCTAAAAGTAACCCCCTCCAGTCCCTCCCCCCTTCCTCTCTCCCTTCACTCACCTTGAACCTTGCTCACTAGCACGGCCATGGTGGCCCAGCGGCCAGCTAGCTCCCGGGAGGGGCTGAGGGGAAAGAGGAAGGGGGGGAAAGAGGGGAGGGAGAGAGGGAGGAACAAGCGGGGTTGGGGGGAGCTCAAACCCCGAGAAGCACCAGACCCACATCGAGGCGCGGCGGGCGAGGTAACGCAGGGCCCAACTGGCTCCATCTCGGGTGTGTTTACACTTTCCCCCACGTTGTGGCCCCGCTGCGCAGTGGCCGCGGCGCTGTGCCGCGCCGCCACGCATCGGTATCCCCCGGTCCCTTCTCACGAAATGTCCTTGAGGCCGATATACACACAGTCGTCCGTAAGTCGCTCTCTCAGCACCAGACTGCCAATTACCGGTTTGCTAACCTGGGGAGTAGAGTGGCGTTGAGCGGAGTGAAAGGAGGGAGGGACGAAAAGAGGTAGACATGGGTGTGCGGGAAAGCGCCGCCTTGATTCCGTCAACGTGTGTGATGGTGTGTGAACCGACAAATGCCTAGTGTTTCGGTTCCCATCGTCCCAAGTGGGTGCAGAATGCTAATCATCAAAGGCGCCAAAGGATTGAGTAAAGGATGGAAACCTCGGGCATGATATGTGGCGAGGGTGCTCCGTGTCTTGAGACGGTTCTTGGCTTGCATCTATGCCAATCCAAAAAAAAATAGGTGGCTTGGCCATCACCTAGCAGCTAGGGAGCATGTCGTTCTTTCTTCACCTTTCTTCTCCCTTCTTCACCCTCCCTTTTCCCTTTGAGAGCACCTACGCGGAATCCGGATATGCTGTCGGTGTAGCCATCCACGACCTGCCGGCTGGGTTGCTGGGGCCGCGGTGCGGGCAGGGACGACACCCGATTGGTTGCAAGCTGGGGAGGCGCAGGTGAAGAGCGGGGCCGGCTTTGGCTACGGAGCGGCTCCGAAGGTGCTGCTGTGGGACGGGGAGCGGGCTGTTGTTGGGAGAACGGATGCTCGGCGGGTTTCCCCGAGCTTCCATATTTTAACTCTCCCGGGGCTGGTTCCTCCTCGGCCTCATCTGCGAGCGCCAGAAGCAAATCCAGGTCCGCGTCGTCCATCGATGGGTGCGTTGCAGTGGAGTGACTTGTAAGTAAGATGCTGTCCTACAGGCAGACGGCAACGTGCGAAGAGGTTGTGCTGTTGTTATATCGCATCCTTGGGGACATGTGTATGTGACATCGCGATATGCACTTGTCCGCAAAGAATCATCTCTGACAAAGAGACAGATTGCATTCCCGCTTAATTGTGAGCTGCCGTACATGCCACCTTTGATGAATGCTTCCAGATTCACCTATAATCACCTGAGAATTAAGCGAAGTCTATTGTAAACTCATCAACCAGCCACACAGTCTGTCAAGTAGCCGTCACTGTCCGTTAATTAGCCGCCGTAGTAATATGCTTCAAGGCTGCATCGGTAGGTGCATAACAAAATACTTATCAATACTCTTCGACATCATTAGTTGCAAGCCTTAAATAACTCGACCTGACCATTAGCATGTTAGATTACGACAATAGACGAAACCGGCTCACAACTGGTTACGGAAGCCCTGTTGCGGCAACGTACCTCGCGGTAGCGGACTATACTGACGAAAAAGCTTAGGGGGTTACTTGAGAGCCTGAGAAGAGAAGATTTTTGAAACTACCTCCGGCATGGGGACCTGTATCGCGGACATCGCCACCTATCCGTGTATGCGGTACTTTAGGCTAGGAAATATGTGGGACCGTATCAGCCGGGCATCCTGTTAGGATGTATGGGGGCGCTGGGGACCTCAAAGCAAATGTTTATGTGTCGCCTGTGTGAAAGCTGTCTTTGGGGTTTTTGTCAAAGAACGCAGGACTGCAAGTTTAGTCCACCAGGAGCTATTGCCAACCCGGAGGTTGCCTAGCTGAACCAGGTAATTCACGCTAGCCATATTTTGGTGGAGCTAGCACAGACCGGTTGCATGAACTCAGTGTTGGCTGGCCCCCATGCCAAGTAATTACAACGAGCTGAATAGTTCTGGGAACCCGCTACGACTTAGACTTGAAAAAAGTCTGTATGTTCTTCTGCTTGCCGCCGCAAGCAGCAGCAGCAACCCCCGTCGTCGTCCCCTTCCCAGATCCACGCCGGCGCCCGCCTCCTGGCCGCCCAGTCGTCGGCCCGCTCTGCAGCCGCTGCGGCGGCGCGGATACATTGGGTCGTTGGTCCCCAGCCGGCCGCTGTTCGCTGCCGCCCACACTCGCCGTCGCCTCCTGCGCCTCCGCCCCCTCAGCCGCACCACCGTGCCCGCCCTCGCCACGACCACAGTCGCCCGGTTGTAAAGCTTCCCCTGCCGGGCCTGCACAGGAGGCATCCTGCTGGGTCGGCACATGCACCCTTAACCCTTCGGTCAATGTCCCTGACGGCCAGACGTGGACACCTTCCTGCCCTGATGCACCGCCAGCGGACCTGTGCTCGCCACCAACGCCGCCGTTTCCCTTAGCACACGTGGCCATGTCCATATCCGTATCTGCAGCAGCATCGCATTTCGGGACCAGTTCAGCTTTTGAAGCATGGCGTTCCCCAACCTCGTCAGGAAGTCCCTGTTGCAGCTGAGCGCTTGACGCGTCTAAACCGCAGGATACCGTCGTATCGGAAGCTACCGCAGCATTCGGCCCTCTGGTTACGGCCAGTGCCGTCCGAAGCGCCGGTGCCGGGCGCGGCGTCTGAGTGGCCTCCCCCTCAACGTCAGCAGCTGCTACTGCTGCACGCTTCCTGTTGCTGCCAGTGGCAACAGCTGCGTCGGTGTGGCAACTAACAGCGCCCGCGGCATAAGCTGCCGTGCTATTTCCCTTCACCAACGACCAAACAGGGCTAGGCAGAACCGCTGTTGTTGATGGCTGCGGCCCACAGGGTCCCGCCAGCGCCACCGAAGTGGGTGCGGACGTAGCTCCAGGGGAAGTGGCAATGGCCTTTCGACCAGCTGCTGGCACCACAAGTTGCGGTCGCCGGCTGAAGATGTCGCGAATGGTCTTTTGGTTCTTGTCTACGAAGCGGGCTTCCAAGTCCCGCCACAGCGTGCAGGGCGCTGTTGCAGGCGGCGGTAGGAATAGATGCGGTGGCGGCTCTACAGCGGGAGCCGCGTCGCCACGAACATCAGGGCCTGTAGCACCAATGCAGCATGACGAAACCACAGCAAAGCCGTCTCCGCTACTGCCGCTGGCAGCACCGCCGTTGCCGCTGCTATTGCCGACAGTACCTGGCATCTCTTGGATTGCGGCGCGGGTGTCCACGCCACCCTCCAGGACCGCCGTTTCCGGTGCCTGTCGATGAGAGGGCGCAACCCCGTGGGGCCATGAGAAATGAGAGTGTTGCGCGGCGTGCTCCAAAGAAGCGAGGACCGTTTCGGCGCCATAATAGCACTGAAAGTTAATTAAAAACAACCTGTACTACGGTCAACAAAGAACGGCCGGTGTCCAGCCGCGCCCAACATAAGCACGCCGAGTTTCTTGCAGCTTCCGCTGATTAGCAAGCGATGACGCTGTGCAGACGTGACTGGCTTACCGTCTGAAGTAGCTGAGGCCGCAGCTGGCGCATCTCTTCCTCACCCTTTTCCACCATCGCCGCAACCGATGGCAGGGGCCTTGGGAGGGCCTGCTCCGACGCCGACTCAGGCTCTACCGCTCGCTGAACTCGCAGCGTGAGCAGGATTGCCGCGTGGTCCGACCATTTCGGTGGAATGGCGGCGGCGGTTAGAATCTCGCACGACTGCACGTACGGCAGTAATCCTGGGCTGACGAGCACGTAGTCAATGCGGAGACCCTGGGGTAACCCACATATGGGTAAGGGCACGATTACGGCATGCTAAGGTAAGGGAGTACATCCTTGAAAGGTGCCGCCATGGAGGGTGACTAGAGCGGCAGCGCACATTGCCTCGTTGGGCCATGCTCGGTGTGGCAGAGGCATGGCTGTTCGATGCAGCGGTTACGCATCGGTGATGCGACAGAAGCGGCATCCCTTATGCCCTCAGGAGGCCAGGAGATTCAGCCGCTTAACAATGCAATTTACTGATGGCATTCGAGAGATAGCAAATAACCGTTTCAGAGTACAAACTTGGTTGCGGGGAAGTGCGCGCACCGTATTAAAGGCCCTCGCGCTAGTTCGCTCGTCCCATACAGTGTACGACCCCTCGGTGTCAGGGTGCAGATGTCGCCACACGTCTGGGTACGCCGCAATAAGGCCAGACAACTCCGCAAGCTCCTGCTTGTCGTACATGGAGTCGAAGTCCAGCGTCGGATGCACGTCGCGACGCTCCGCGGCGATGTTCAGGTCACCCACAAGGACCACCTGTCAACGGTCGGCAGTTGGTCCCGTGTAACGTTTTGGTCGGTTGGGAAAACATTGCATTCTGGGCAGTGCGGCGCTCCATCACTGCTTCCGTGTCTGCTTGCTAATCACCCGCCACCGCACAGCCCACGACCCGTCAGCATGTAACGTGCATAGCCTGTGTGTAGCCTGTGCTCAGGCTAACACCCCCAATGGCTCCCAACGGCAGCAACGGTTGCCCACCAACCAACCAGCCACCCACCCACCTGCCGCCCAAGCGCCGTGAGCTCGTCCATTTTGGTGCGCAGGGCCCGCAGGAACGCCAGCTTGTACGGCAGCCTTGCCCGCTCCGGTCGGTCCCCCGCGTTGGGCACATACACATTCAGCAGCACGAAGGCCCCGTGGTCCGTGAGGACGAACCTGATTAGGAGAGGGAAGTGGAGGGGGAAGGATAGGAAGACGACTTCCAATTTTGTCCAAACGAACAAACCTTCGCTACCGGGGGCTCCCCGCCTCTCCCGCCCTCTGGGGCCCATCTCTCTCCCCACCCGGTCCCTTCTGGATGATTGCTAGGCTCCTCACCTACCGGCCCTCCGTGTCGAGTTCCGGTCGCTCATCGCCACCCAGGCAGTCCACAGCCGCATCCCGTGGAGCGGCTGTAGCAGTACGGCACCATGTGGTCACACCTGCGACACCGACATTAGATAACCAACCAACCGAAAAGGCCGTGCCCAATGGCCTAACGCGAGCGATTGGCGCACAGCTCCGTGCCGGATGTTGACGAAGGTATTAAAGCATGTGGTTGTTCATCCGTTGCTACAGAAGACTCCCTTGCCTTTCCCATGCACAGTCAACGACGCAGGGAGTGCTGCGGCCTTCCAGTGGGCGTTCAGCTCAGCGTGCCAGTGTCCACATGCCGCCACAGCCCGCCACCCGCATATAGTCCCAATCCAGCCAAAGCGCGGCAGCGGCATAACCATTGTAACCAAGCCCTTCACCTCCACCCCTCTCCGACTTCCCACTCACCACTATAGCCCGGCTTGGAGGTGGACGAGGCCCAAAAGGACTGCGAGATATATGGGGAAGGAGGGGGCCCCTTTAATTGGCGTGAGGATGCCGCCACACGCGTACCAGGGTCTCTCGGCTAAGAACGACTACTTTCTCCCCCCAGGCGCGGCCTCCGTCACCAAATCAACCCCCCTCCTCACACACACACACACACACACGCACGCACGCACGCACACACACACACACACGCACGCACGCACGCACACACACACACACACACACGCGCACCTGGAAACCCTCGACACACGCCAGCTCGCGGGTTATCCTGGCGGCTGGCAGCTTGACTTCCTGTGTACGACAGAAAGCGCCAACAAAAAACAGGTCCAGCGATCAGGAAGGCCCTTTCTCTCATCCTTGTACACATTCCTTATGACTTCAAGCTCCAACTGTTATACTGCTTCAATGGCCGCGTACATTTAATGGTCGCAATGCATCACACGTGCACGCAATCACTGCTGCTGTATTCCCCCAATTCTTCAGTCCCAGGTGAACTCCTCGGCAGTCCTGAAAACCACTACAGTATCCCTTCGGAGGATCGCGCTCCCCTCTGGCTTCTTCCTGCCTTCCAGCCCCGCAGCCACTCCCACCGCCAAACCGCAGCCTGCATCTAAATAACCTGAAAGCACGCTATATCCAATTGCAAGTGGTCCATGAAGCCCCGGAAGCTCTTGTGCCGCAGCTCCATGTTCCGGACAGTGGGCGTCTACGGCGTGAGGCAGGGCAGGGCGGGGCGGAACGGGATGGAAAGGGGGAGGGGAAAATGAAGGGACGAGGAGCAAGGGCAAAGGGTTACATAGGCATTGCGACATGCAGATATGGCAGGGTCGTTGCAGGTAGGCGGGGGTTTAGAGGTGTAGGCTAGTGGGGGCCGGAGGGAAGTTTGGGGCCATGAGGGCTCCGGACAGAACGAAGCAGCTGGAGGGACTTAGGGCCGCCGAATGGTGGCAGCTTGGGGAGGTGGATGGCAAGGTGGTAGCTGCAAGCCTGCGCAATTCCTGCGGATATTGCGGCATCGCACACCACAGGGTTCCAGGAAAACTGTAGCACAAAAGCAGGCACTGCATACCGAGACGCGGCGAAATCTGGGGTAGCAGACGCCCATCTTGGGATGTATGTCAAAGCTGGGTGCGCCAGGTACAAAGGTCATATCTGGGTGGAGCAAACCGCCGCAGTGATACGCGAGACAGGACCAGCAGGGCAGGACCGCTACCGCTGGGGGCCTTTAAAAGCAGGCTGGAAGGGATTTGGCACCTGGACCTGAGCTGTGAAGTTGGTAATGGGGCTACTTCAGAGCTTGGTCGACGCACACCGGTGTGCGCAAGTCTAGATGTCCCAACCCCGCTCCCGCTTTCTGTCATGATGCATGTGTAGTCCCATAGGATGTAAGCGCAGCGCCTACCAGGCAATTTATGTTCCAGCACATTATATTGAGCACTCCGGGGTGCGCCTCCGCCTCCCCAGCTTCGCCGCGCGGGTCCGTTTCCATTGATCAACCTTCCTTGGCACCCGCTTTTACATTTAATTAACCACGTCGTCTTCCCAGTGCACTTTGGGGAGCAATTGTGCTGCTCAGTAGCATGTCTCAAAATTTCCCCCAAGTACAGGCCGAAAAGAATGTAAAATAATTGTAATCGTTAACAATCAATGAGGTCCATGGTTAATTACACCTTCGTAGGGTAGCACAAGTAACAGTCATCGACGATACAAACTTTCGGCCACGCGTGACGAGCTTGCAAGATACTTGTCAGATGATTTTGTGCGTGGTTGCGGCAACGGTTGGCTGGCGGGAGGTAGACTTGAGGCCCTGACCATGCATGGTGTACAGAGCGGATGGTGCATCACCTTGGGACAGACGATGTCCAACTGCCCAGCAACGGAAACAACCACCTGTACTGCTGAACAATTTCCTCGCCGATTGTATGTACACAGCTGACTCCTGCAAGCTGAGGCTAAGCTTTACTTGGTCCCTGACACGTCCAACTTACATCTCCCTTGAACGTCTACTTTTGTTCGTCAGTGGCATGTCGGAATGTAGTTGACGACAACTCTTACCATCTGCCACGTAAGAGGCTCAGCTCTGCGCGTCAGCACAGCGTCCTCATTCCGCGTCGCCTCAGCCTGCAATGCTGCATTATGTAGCTGCGCACGAATGCCTTTCAGCTTTCATCACACAACCTTTTCGACAGCTTAGGGCCCGACGCACGCGCCAGAAGCATTTAACTGTCTCCAGCAGGTCAGCATATTCGAGCATTTGAGGTGCACGTTTATTCATGGTCGTGGTTCAACCTCCAACTTCACCCAAGATCCAAAGGGACGTGGCCTCGTGGCCAAGAAGGCCAGTACCCGCGCCGCTGTTGTGAATATGATAGTTGAGTTGTCATTTGAAGCTTAAAATACAAGATTAAAAAAGGTCTGCACGCGTGACAAGCCGGCAGCCCGCAGCGGCTGGGCGTCGCCAGAGTTGCCCCGGAGGCGACAAGGGTTTTGCGGTTTTGCTGCTAAAAGTCAACACCATCACTATGGGTCCGATCAGGCACCTTGAAATCGGCTACGCACACAGGATTGTCTAAGCAACGATGTTGACTGCAAACATTCATGCATGAACGCATCTTGCGGGTCCCATGAGAACTGTTTGCGTCTTCCGTACGGATCTTAAACCCTTGGCGCTACTCAAAGCCTCAAGCCATGGGTACTGTTTTGTGCTTCTCGCGCAAATATGAGAAGTCAACTTTTTCAACACGGCTGGATGTCACTTCCTCACTGTGATACGGGTCGACACAGCGGTTGCGATGGCCGGAAAACCTGTGGTTGGAACCGATCAAGTATGAATCGACAAGTATGAAACAACAAGTATGAATCGGCGCTGTTTTCTTTTTGCAGCGCTCACTGGCTGCATGGGGAGCTCAGTCCGGGCCTGGCAACCGCCGTGGTCCCGAACTTAGCAGTTTTGGCAGTTTTATATCAGCGTGTAATGCTGAAGAGGCAGGCACGACCTGTGTCACAATGCCAATAGAACACTGCCGTCAGTGCCAGCAGCCGCGGCACCGTCACTATTGCAGCGCAGGCTACCTCATGACGATGCGCAAGGCGCAAACCAACAGCAGAATGCGAACATGGCGATGGTTTCGGAGATTGAGAGGTGAACTTTGCACACTTAGAGGGCCATTGGACGTTTGCCAGAGCGTCCGGACGTATAGCGCCTCTGTCGGTAGGGCCGTCTTTGTGAATGTGCGTAGCACCCGCTGTAGCTCTGAAGGCCGCTCGCTGCTGTGTGAATATCCTTCACGGTGTCGATCTTCATGGCAAAGCATCCGGAAGGACGTTTATCTCCACACAAAAGCGTTTTCGGCGCCGGAAGGCCAGCCGTACAGCCCGCGTGTACAGTAGGCATTTAAATGTTTGCTGGCTCCTCAATGGATGATTTAGTAAGCTTCCTAGTTTTTTGGCTTGTGGTTGGATGGAAAGGAGCAATGAGTGAATGTCTAAAGGACGCACCACACGCATTCGTTTGAGGTTGAACATGCTTTCCAGTTTAGCACAAGGCCACCAGGTTCATCGCTGTGGGCAGACCACCACATCCACTCAACAGACCAGGCGCCGGGATGGATTTTCCTGGAGGGCGGCAACTGCCGCGTGAAGCTCTCAGAATTTCTATGGAGCCAGTTGGCGCCTGACGCCGAATCGCGGTTTAGGTCTGTCGGAGCCGGAGCCACCCATATTTTGTGAATTATATTTCTGGGAAGAGCCACAGGAGCCACTTTCTGAAACACTGACTCCGCCAGTTGTGGCGAAGCTTCCTATGTTTGTATGTTTCTACACCTAACACTGAGCAAGTTGACACGAACAGTTCGTCTTCCGTTTGATGCTCACACGGATGTAATTTCGGCATGCCAGGTATTTCATATGGTGGTTGGCATTTGTGGGGTCCGGGGGCAGTCGGGGGACGCCTGGGGGCCGGCCTGATGACAGGATGTTGAGGTGGTTGGTTGTTACTGTTCAGGTGCCCGTACTTTGCATGGAACTTCCACACGCACTCAGTTGTGTTTCAGTTCTGAGAAGCTCTAGGGGGATAGGAGTCCGTCCGGAGCTGCATTCCATGCTGCAGGAGTCAGTTATCGGCATGGACTCGTCCAGCACTGCGCAGTCAGTGTACAGCAGCACGCCCAGGTTGTGACACGCCAGGAGCCTCAGGAAGGTGTCTCAGGATGCGCAGGTAAAGGACGGGCAATACATCATCCAGATTTACGGGTGTAACAGTGCTGCTCTGAAATACGGTTAACGGTCAACGGCCAACTGGATGAGCTGTATTGTTCAAGATGTGAGGTGGCAGAGCAGGGTGGCAGTGCCGTAGTCTGCAGGCCATGATTAGCTGGACGAGTAAGGGCGCACAATCGTGTGCCTGTTTCTAGTCCACGCTTTGTGTCCCGTTGCCTTGAATGAGGACTTCTTATAACGAGGCATATCGATCTGCTGGACTTGCAATGCCGTACGTGCAATATGCCACTGTACACGTATGGCCCTACAGTGGGCGCATCACTCAGTCTCTCCCTCCTCAAGGTCACCCGGGTGGCACAGCAATCGATGATCAAGGCAACGAAAATGTAATACTCTTGGCATGCCAAGTATGTGGTTTGCAGACGAGGCTTCCTACCGGCGAGATTGCACGGCAACGCCAAGGACAATTGGTTCCTCTGGGTGCGGTACTTTCTTTGAGTCTGTCTATTTCCGTAGCATTTAGTTCATAGGCGTCTCTGCTGCGTCGTCGGCTTCAATGAAGCTTTCTTCCTTCTTCTAGAGGAGGCAGGAGGCCGCGCGCGGCAGTAGCAGTTCGCTGAGTGGCGTTGTCCAATAGGCACGGCATCGAGCGTGTACGGCCGGTTGACCCGGCCTTTTCCTCCTTCCTCAAGTTGCGCTTCCCAGCTTGTCGACTTGCATAAGTGCTTGCAGGTGCTTGGCTATTTGACAGGTCTGCACTTTGTGGGAACTGCTGCCGGACACCGATAAGGAAGCCTTAAATTATTTTCTGGAACCCATCTCCTGGAGGACCTGCTGCCCTCTTTTTTTTGCTCTCTTACATAAACCCCAGGAACGGTCTCCTCGCATGCGCGCATGCGCCTGTGCGGGCGGCCACACCAAACGCTGCAACCCCCAACACGCACAGGCCGAAGCGCCATATCGTATTGAACACGCCGTCTGGCCGTAGTAAGGCTTATGAGACCCCCTTTCTACGAGCTCTGGACCAGCACCTCTCAAAAGCAAATGTTGACAGCTCATCAAGAAATACAACACTCTTAACATACAATTCTGCAACACACACACACCAATACACCTAGATGCCGATGCCAATGCAGGCCCCGAGCCCCTTCACATGACATTCCGGCGCGGTTCCAACACCACAGTACACTCCGAAAGCTGAGCCTTCAGCTGGCTGCATGCTGCAGCGAACTATATTCACCGCACCTGGGTGCCGCGTGCATTAAGGTACTGGGGCATAATATGCCACAAGCAGCTTGCGAACATATGGAATTGCAACTTTCCCCTCGCATACAATCAAACCCTCTCACACACACGCTCTCAGCAGCAGGCCCACAGCATGTGGCAATTGATCACCTAGCGGAGCCTAATCAGATAACATTATGTAATCGGGATCACGGAGCTGGTTTTTGTCAATACAAGGGCACGTTCCGGTCAGTCCCTAGCAAGCTGCTAGCAGCAACTCTACGAGAGCAATAGGGGCTGACAGAGGCATATCAAGACGTTCATTTACGCTTGGCAGCGTTAATAGCTATGAAGACAGTTCCAAAGAAACGATCATGCAAACGCAAAACAATTCTTATGGTCCTGCGGTGATGGGAAGCACACACACACACATCCCCAACGCCGCACAGTATCGCATTTGCATCATTTTCTCTGGTTGTTTCCCAACTTAGGGTTCCCTTTATATTTATTATCAACACCTTGACTGCGACATCAGTAGGGTTTCTTGGTGCCGTAGCACACGGCGTAGTGCTTCTCCTTGCAGGGTCGGGCGAACGGACCCTTGTTGCCAGCCGGGTCGATGTACGCGCAGTAGGTGCCCTCCACTCCCTTAACCCAGCAGCCCTTGCCGTTCGAGTAGCACAGCTTGGTGGTGGGAGCTGCACATTTGCGTGTTTATGGTTGTAGCGGCGTGGCATTGGGTGGCCGTGTAAAAGTGGGTTCGGTTAATGGGCATGGACATGTGCATGGCTAATAGGTACACGACCCCTTGGCTAGGTGCGAAAGCCGGGGCGAGACGAGGGATATGGCTTGAGGTAGACACCCGTTGGAACTGTGTACGATTTTCCACGTCATAATCGGGACGCGGACGAACGCACAGGAGAGGTGGTGCGCTGAAGGCATGGATGGCTATCCGATGGTCTATCCGATGGGTGAGGACCATGAAAAACCCACTGTGCATGACGGTCCCCTGTGCCCTTTGTGCAAACCCACGTAAGCCCGCACGGTGCATAACCCTAAGGACATTACGGCATATGCAGCGCAAGGGAAGGGAGCTGGGTCTGTGGCAGGGGTTTGTGGTACTGTGCATGCGCGCGCTTGCGGGGCCATGCACACAACCAAAGAGATGCGCCCGGCGCTGGTGCCACACGCTAGGTCAGTCCGCGAACAATGGGTTAAATAGCAGGTAGGATGGCGGCGAGTCCCCCGCCTAATGCGGTGGTGGACACAGCCCTAACCCGGTGGTGTCAGATGGTGTCTGCACCACCACGCACCTTCACTGTCCGACCGGCGCGCGGACAGGAGATTGGCAGTCTAACCGCACATACGACAGACGTACCGAGCAGATCCCAATCATTGTACGGGACAAGCTTGTAACCCTTGGACGAGCAGAAGTCCTGAGCGTCGTAGTAGGTGTACTTGGAGGTCGAAGCCAGGTAGTAGTACTTTTTATACTTATACGCCAGGAACGGCTTGACTGGTGGGGGAGGGTAATGCGCGGAAACAGGCCCCGACCGGCACATTGGTGGTTGGAATGGAAGTCTATTGGGAATGGCAGGCCACAATAACTCGTAAGAGTGAAAGCCATTTCACAACGCCCATCAGCAGCAGGTCAGTCAGGGCAGTGGACCTTAGCCGCCACATCAGGGACGAGAGAGACGGCCGCAGCCTGCAGCCAGGCGCGTAACCCCACGCGTCTGGGAACTGAAGGTTTTCAGAGTATAACAATTGAAGCCGAGGCATTCTGTGAACTCAGAAGAGTTGGTGGTGCACGTTGGTACGGCACGAGATGCCTTTAAAGGAGGTCGCTCTGGTGTGCTGGTGAGTGATTTTGGGGTTTCGTAGCTACGTTAGGTCGCTGCTGTGAGGCGTTAGGTGTCCAGGCCTAGTTGGTCGCCTCCGACTGTAAGAGCTTGGGTATCAAGAGCTTCAAGATACCCGGCAGAGGCACTTAGTAGAGGATGAGAAAGATCAGGTAGCACCAGATAACACAAATGGCCAGAAAAGCGAGACGATGCCAGACGACGAGAGGGAACGAATGTGCGGATTGAGCGTAAGTGTACGAGTTGCAAGCGCGGGTGCGTGTCTGACCTGGCGGTGGCGGAGGCGGAGGTGGAGGTGGTGGTGGCGGAGGAGACCGCGGCCGTCGTGGTGAGCGTGGTGGCCGTGGTGATGGTGGCGATGGTGGCGAAGGTTGAGCTGGGGGAGAGGGTGGGGAAGGCGGTTGGGGTGATGGCGGTTGCGGCGGCGGAGACGGTGGTGACGGCGGCTGTGGTGACGATGGCGGCTGCGGTGGAGATGGCGGCGATGGTGGCGATGGGGGTGGGGCCTGCGGTGGAGAAGGCGATTGAGGTGGCGACGGCGGTGGAGGTGGTGATGGCGGCTGGGGTGGCGACGGCGGAAATGGCGATGGCGGCTGGGGTGGCGATGGCGGCGATGGCGATGGCGGTGACGGCGGCTTGGGAGATGGCGGTGATGGCGACGGCGGGGAAGGGGACCCCTTCCATTTCTCGTTATTTTTGTCTCCACCCCGATTCATTGGAAACTCCACGAACTGCAGCTGCGCAGCCGCACCTGCGGGAGAAAGATGGGGCCAGGGAACAGCGACGTGGACGCTGTACGGCCGTACGGCGCTGACGAGCACATCAGTGCTGAAGCTCCGGGCCCAGCCCTCTGCCCTCAGCCCTCTTATCAGCTGCATCCTTACCCCGGACCTATTTGCACAGTCGGGAGCCAAGGTTCACGCAAACACATGCGTTCTTGATCCAAAAAGCACAGCCCGCGGCCGGCCTGAATCAAGGCGCGGAGAATCCTTTGGCCCAAACGTACAAGCAACAGGAAAAGTGTGTACCCAGCCAAATGCTGTTCATCGTCATGCATTTCGCATGTAATCAATTCGCGACCAGCTTTCACCAACCTTTTGGTCCGTTACACAGGTCACTGAGGGCGGCGGCCAACAGGACTACAGCCACCACGGACAGCCCGCGGGGGATTCTTGGGGTCGAGTAGGAGCATGCCATGGCGGCTCCCGACGGGGTAGACACTGGTTGGGTGGTTGGACACGGCTTATAATCTAAGGCGTGTTGTGGGAACAGAACACTCGCGCTCTCGGGTCGTCAGGGTTGTGCTGTTGTGTAACCGTAGTATTCGCGAGCCCGTTAGGTTTGGCTCCACGCTTTCACGTGGTCCCTTCAGGGTCGTTGTATTATTATTGCCGATTGCTGACGATGAAGGTAACGAGCTGCAACAGCACCAGGATGAAAGCGTTCAGTTTCGCACTACCGCCGCTGCTTGTTCCGCGCTCTCATGCATGCATCTGTGCGTGTGTGCGTGTCTGTCGCCTGAGAGGCCTTAGTTCTTGGCTGGCTACACGCTACCGCAGTGTCGCCCATCAAACGCCCATGCCTTTGCGCGCGGTGGGCAGTTTATGGGACCGGTCGATTTTGGATTCACATAAAGCGTTGAGGAGGGCGATTGTCGATGGCACAGCCCTTCCAAATGCAACGATTGCAAACTACACTAAGGGGTAAAGTGACGAAGGAATTGGGGTTTTCATGAGAAATCATCGTTCGTTACACACTAAGGGTACCTGCAAGCAGTAAACAGCCGTCTTCAATCAGTAGGTAGGCCGGGTGAGGGCCGGCTACCGCGAAGGCTATCGCTACGGCCTTGACGCCTACAGCCTCACGGCAACCACCCTATGTAGCTACAAAACCCGAAAATCAGTCCTCCAAGCACTCGCGAACTCCTTAACTGGCACCAAGTGCCGTACCAACGCCCTTAAGAGGGCACAACTCCTCTGAGTTCACAGAAAACCTTGGTTTTCTAGCGTTGCACTCAGAAAACCTTCAGTTTTCGACACCCACCTCCGAAGCACACCCGGCAAAATTGACGTGTTTCGCGACGGCTAAACACACATCTGCACATGCACATGCACATGCGCGCGCCCCAAGTGGAAGCTGAAATCTCAAGCTTTCTGCTTCCTGTTGGCCAGGCCCGTCGGATTGGGCGTGAACCGTGAACAAGAGGCCGTGCACGGCGACCTCTTTCCTTTTTTCTGAGTTGCCGGCATAGTAGGAGTAGAGGCCCTGTTCTGCACTAGACCGGTGTTTTCTTGGAATAAGCCGGGGGCGCCTCGCGATTATGTGATGTCGGGCTTATGCATATTTGAGGGGCAGGTGGCGGTGGGTGAGTTTGAGGCAACGAGACGGCTAGGTTCCCTTACACTCGGCGGAGTTGAACGCAGCTCCGTGGCTTTGTGCTCCTGCCGCCTACCCGCAGACCGGCGGCCCCTAACCGCCGGGGCCCACCCTACCCAACTACGGCCTGTGTGCTCCTAGAAATCTGTGTTTGCTAGGAAGCTTGCCGGCACAGGCCGGTACGGGGCCAACCCTGTCAAAACCAACCCGACGGTCTGCCATGCTTGCCGTGTCAGCACAAGATATTACAACAACCCTGGCTTCATCCAATGGATCACGAGTCTAATGGACGAAGTCAAAAAACGTTTCAGGTCCCCTACCGATCCCCTACCGAGTCAAGCAAGCGCGTACGTAGTGTATATATCTAGTTGTGCGTGTCAGCTTACTGTCGGTACTTGCAAGCCGGCAAACGCACCCAGACAGACGCACAGACTGACAGATAGACAGATAGACAGACAGACAGATTGAAAGACAGACAGACATGCAGACCGGGCTGCAGCAGACAGCAGGTAGTTAAGTTAACAGACATGACGACAGAGAGGCAGACGGGCAGTCAAACGCAATCTACCTCAAGCGCAAGGACGTCCCCTTCAGGACTTCCCCGTCGCACCGATGCGACACTGTCTGCCCACAGCGCCACCGCAACCATCTACATGACTATTCGGAGGTTTCCACGAGCTGAAGGCGGTCTATCAGTCGTTGGTTAGACGGGCGTGGACGGCTCATCAATGCTGTCGTGCTCTCAGGCCTCTCCAAAACCACCAAGCTACTTTTATGGTCACGTAAAGAGCCCGTCCCGCAAATATTACCTTAGGACGTGAACTATTCCTCTTTTATTCCCATGTTTTCCACTGCACAACAGAGCACAGCACGTCGACGCCTCAAGGCGGCACTACCGATAACTGGGTAGGACACTTAACCAGGCCGCAACATGCCGCCGGCCCTTGCAACATGTCCTCCTCCATCCGCACCTGACCCCAACCAGTGTGAAAAGGATGCCTTTGCATGGATATATAACAGATAAAGCAGCGATAGCATCCCGGGATGCAAGTTTGAAGGGGGGGATCACGAGCCTAACCGGGGAGATCAGGGAGATAAGCTCTTTATCTCCCTCAAAAGCATGAAAGCCAAGCTATGCGGGCAAGCAAGATAAGGATGCTCGCTAGGTTGGCCCATACACAACTTCAGCAACTACAGTCCACCGTCGCTTCTCAGTTACTTCTGGCAGCGCAGGTAGAAGAGCTCTCGTTCGTATGTGCGTATGTGTGCATGTGCGTGTGTGCGTGTGTGTGAGAGACAGAGAGAGAGAGAGTACTGCTTGTTGCGACATCAAAAAAACCCTCCCGCGGCCTGATAACCCTAAGAAGCTCTGTCATCAGCCTGATAGGAGCTAGAAGGTAGAAGAGGTCATCACGGCGGTAGCACGAGAACTTTCCGCCGCAACGCCGCGGCGCCGCACCATCGCCGTGCAATCATCTGCTTCCACATCTCCTTTCCCTCGCGCTGTTTCTGTGCGCGGGATCAGCTCAATGCGGATGGCTGGCTCCCCTCACGCCCGCGGCTCCTGCTAAAGCAGTAGCAGTGGCGTCGGCGGCAGGAGGGCTGCAGCTTCGAACTGATGGCCGGAACCCTCATGCAAGCCGCCCTTGGATGGCCACCACAGAGCGACGGACCCGCGGAGGAAAATGCAGCCGGGCCGCAGCCATGCGCACATGGTTTGGCGATAGGTACCATGGGAACATCACATCACATTGCCGCTCGCTTCAGGGGCGCCTTGGTGAAGCAGACCGCGTACTGCTCTTCGTCGCAGTAGCGCGTGGAGGAGGAGCCGCCGTTTCCGTCTGGATCGACGTAGGCGCAGTAGTTGCCTTGCTGGCCGCCGACCCAGCAGCCGCGACCGCTCTCGTAGCACAGGCGGTTTGTGGCGTCTGCGGATTGGATGTAGGGAGTGCGGATTGGATCAGTAATGCGGCGCAGCGCACAAGGTAAATGGGTTGCGTTCACAGAGACTTAGGGGCATTATTGCAGATAAGTAGCCGCATATGTAGGTTGGTTTCTGACAGCAGACGTCACCCGCCGGGACGTGGTCCAGAACGACCCGGTAGGCATCTGGAGCATTGGAGGTGAGGTGGGCGAAGACGGGCATTGGGGGTGAGGTGGGCGAAGAAGGGTATTGGGGGTGAGGCGGGCGAAGAAGGGCATTGGGGGTGAGGTGGGCGAAGAAGGGCATTGGGGTGAGGCGGGCGAAGAAGGGCATTGGGGGTGAGGTGGGCGAAGAAGGGCATTGGGGGTGAGGTGGGCGAAGAAGGGCATTGGGGGTGAGGTGGGCGAAGAAGGGCATTGGGGGTGAGGCGGGCGAAGAAGGGCATTGGGGGGAGCATCCGAACGTATTACCGGTGCAAACGGCAACCAAGGACTGGACGGCATGTATAGATTGACTGTATATAGCATGTATATAGCAAAGGCTTGGATGAATCGTTTTTGCCATAAGGATTACACTGGTCAAAGCCATTCACGGGTGCCGTATGTCACCTGCTGCGATGGTGGCGGGTGAACAACTTACTGGTAGATGACTGGTTAACAACCCTTCCAGGTTGAAAAGGACTCGCAACCGACACTTTCAGATCGACTCCAACAAGATCAGATTCAAACATGATTAAAACCAGCGCATTTCTGCCAGGACATTTTAGTCTGCCGTACGCACGTGTTTTGTCAATGCTACAGTCGTATGACGCGGCAGTTCCCACAGCACCGACACAAACCGGGGTTCGGCACCGCGCCCGCAGCTTGCACCCCCTGACCTCACTCCCACAGCATTGCAGAGACAGCAGAACACATGTGTATGTCTGTACACGATGGCCTACCTTTTTGCGTCTTGTCATCGTACGGAATTAGGTCGTACCCCTTGTCAAGGCAGAAGTACGCAGCGTCGTTGTAGGTGTACTTCCTATTGGACATGAGGTATATGTACTTCTTCGTCTTATACGCCTGGAACTCCTTCTCTGCGGTGGTGGGGTTGCGCCGGGGAATGCGGGCGGTTTCGGTGCTGAGGATGCCCACTGGTTCTGTCCGTCAAACACTGTTGCACTGTAGCAGCTGTCGTACAGTAATACGGCGTGTAAGCAATGCACGCGAGCCCACTCCCAGCGCCTGCAGGGGCGGTTCTGCCCGCCAGCTACCACATACATACAGACGCATTTTGCCATGTACGCGCGGGGTGTATGTCGTACACGGGCACGTGTGTATTATATGTGACACCACAGGCACGCACACACACGCACGCCTCCAGGGAGACATATA